CGAAAGAGCAAAACATGCCCACACTGAGCTGCTATCAGTCCTGTTATATTTTACAGGGAGGGATTGTAGAAAATTGAAAACCTGTGTACCATATCCGCTCAGAAATAGAAAGACGATTCATGGGGCATGCACTTCAGCCTATGTGTTCACAGTTAGACGTAGTAGCAGCAGCTTTGAGGGCCAGTAAAGCTTCTTTTGGAGCAGCACAAGAACCAGCATGCTAATTCAAGGCACTCTAATCAATCCCAGACAGTTTTACTTTCCAGCACCAGGAGTGTGCTGTAAAATCAATAATTTGCTATATCTCCACCTGGAAATACATTACGGCGGTGCCACAGCTGACTCCGGACTGCCTCCTAACTGCGCCTTCAACACCAGTCCATCCATCAAGCAGCAGCTGTCGATAAGACGTGAGAAACGAAATATTTTTCCTCAATGAGACCATGTTGTTATTCTCAGTTATTCCCGAGCTGTGAAGGAGGCGAGGAGTGCGTGGACGAAGAGGGAGTCAAAAGGATCACGGAGTGTTATTGTGGGCATGTGTTTCCCCCCAGATCCCTTACGGCAATCCACCTCTCTGACCTTAAAACACAATGTTGTGATTGAATGGTTGTAATTAAAATGTTCCCCTGGTTCCGGCCCCTCAGCGCCCCTCGGCTTCAGAGGAAAATAAACACACTAAATCGCGTTGATAGTCCAGCAGAGCTTCGTCCGGGGAGTTATCAAATCTCATTACGAATATAAAACAGATAATGTCAGAAATGCATGAAAACACTTGAGTGGCCAATTTTTGCGATAATAAACTGCACACATGAGCTTTTGGGACAACAGGGATGCAACAACAGCCAGGAGCGCCTCTGCTGTGTCACATGAAAAAAAAATGTTTGAGTTTATAATCCCGCTGGCTCCTGAGGGACCACTGTGGGCTCAAGGACCCGTCCTTGAAGTGCCAGCACTCCATCCGGCCCATCCTCAGGTCAGGAAACAGATTACAGCTCCACGGCTACTATCATAGGAAGGATGTGGAGAGCGCATGCAGCCCACTCACTCTCTCGCCGAGGTTCATGCCCGTGGGTCTGTGTACTACGCTGCACTTTGCCCGGCTACTTTGAAGTACTTGTCGCTGTTCAGCAGAGTTCTTTTTTGTTTTGTTTTGATTGTGGCAGCCAAAATTTCTCATCAGTTGTAGGTCATGTCCGCTATTATTCAGTAGTTTATGGCAGACCACCCAGACTATATGAGCAGAACGCGCGCACAGAAATGATTCAACAGCTAATTAGCCATGAAGCTAATGACTGGGCCGACTGAAGCGGGACAATGTGAATTTGCGTGCCGTGTCCCTCTGAGTCCTTTGTTTGAACTGATTCTATGGCAAATGAGGACAATGCAACTAGCTGACAATGATTTATCATCGCCATAGTAAGCAATTAGATAAATGAATTACAGCAGTTGCCTTTTTATGCGTTCAGCATACAAAGAAGGCCACATTGGAATTCATGTTACTGTCACTGTCATATCCTGAAGTCTCGCTGTACTTTGCTCTTTACAATCTAGTTGCTAACTTTGTCTGCTGTTTGAGGCTGGACAGGAAGCATGCAGTGAGTGTATTAGAGTTTTTCTTTAGTAGAAACAGAGACTGGAGCTGAAAAAGTAAGACAAAACAAAGGCGCAAAAGAAATGCAGTTCCACAAATGGCCACTAGAGGCTGGCTTCAAAAGTGAGTCAATCCCCACAGACTCCCATGTTAAAATGTCTAACTTTATAGCACAAATAAACATGTTTACACCCTGGTACAGAAACAGTTTTGGTCTCTGCCGATAATTTTCCCATTTATGACATCTGCACAGGAGATGCGTTTTTCTATAACTCACCTGTTCAGATTGTATTAAGGCATAAAGTTGGGGCTAATTCATTGGGTTGCTGCTTTGCACCTCAGCTCCACTCTAGCTCTTGGCTCTTTTATTTTTTATTTTTGGATTAGCTGGGAGATAGGAGGGGTCAGGTACCGCAATGATAGAAACAGCAGCTTGCCACTAAAAACGATGCTGATGAAGGTAGTTAAACTGCACCAAGACATTAAAAAGTAAGAAGATGTAATGAGAACTTGATTCATTTTGGTACATTCCCGAAGGATAAACGTCATATGCTTTAAAAACAGCACAAAGAAAATTAAATGTAATATCTTTTTCTGTGGAAAAAGAAACTTGGCCTTGGAAGCTATTGTGTGAGAAACAATTTCTCGTAGGCGTTTTTGCATAATTGTTCCCCATTTCTGACATCTTTGAAATTTTTTGAACTCTCCTTGAGGCGAAATTCCTTCAGTTGTAAGATGTTTGAAGGTTTTCTTGCATGCACTGCCCATTTCAAATACCCTCATGACATTTCAGCGGGATTTAAAACTGGGCGTCTGCCTCAACTTCAACCTTCAGACAGATGGCCTCACATTATCTCCAAGCACTCCTTGATATGAAGCAGAATTCCCAGTGGAATCAATGACTGCACGCTGCTCGGTCCCTCCGGCTTTTCCACCACCATCCTTCACAGCTGGCTCTTCTCCTGAGAAGCTGTCTTTGGTCGGCACAAAAATGTCTGCTGGTACTGGTCAAACAGCTCTGTCTTTGAGTTTTCTGTCCAGAGCTCATTATTCCAGAAGTCCTGTTCTTTGCCTATATGTTCATTGGCAAACTGTTGCAAACTGTTTTGCTCTAATTTTCTCGTTTGGACAAAAAAATCCTTTTTCCTGGCTCACTTCTGATGAGGGGCAGATTTGAGTAATCTCTTTCTGATTATAGCACACAGCATTACAACACTTTCAGAGTTACCTGCGGATCCTGTGAGGACATTTTGGGGTTCTTGGAAGCGTCATCTTGTTTTAAACGATCTGCTCTTGGACTGAACTTGCTGGGGCGGACAGTCCTGGACAAATTGGCAGTCGTTCGAAATCTACACCACTTGTAGAGGATTTTCCTTGCAGTGGGATGATTTTTTTCTTATTTTCAGATAGATTGGAGACCTTTTTAAATCCTTTGCCAGACTCACAGACACTCACAACCTTCTTTTCTCTGAAGGCCGTGACAAAAGACACTTCAGTAGCAAGGAGAACACCAGACCCTTGCTGTGAAAGGTCTGAATAATACAGGTTCCATCTGTCTCCTCCTAAGAAACCTGGCACCTAATCTGGAAATCCTAATTCTAGCTTTATGGACTTGAACAGTAAATCTACTTTTTCCATGTGACTGATGTTTTTTTATTCATTTATTTATTTGAAATTGTGATTAAAAATGACTACAAATATAAATTTAACATGCCGTTTGTTTTGTGTATACCACCTTTATCTGTCAGCACTGTTTCAAAGATGATCAATATGTTGAACAAGTCAAACATTTCCACAGGATGCCAAAACACAGACGTATAAAACACTGTACCTACCTAAGTTGGAAATGTAAGGGTCTGACAACCTTTGCAGTGCCAGAGTTTTTCACAATAAGCAACTCTTTTCACATTAAAGTCTTTTTTCTCATTGTTGATTAAAAAAAAAAAAGTAATTAGTGCAGCTTTAAGTCACAGCATTTATCACTTTAAATAAGCTCTTTCATATGAGACATTTTTGCCTCTGGGACTTTCCCTACTGCAATTTAATTACAGAAAGAAAGACAGTTATGATTTACAGATGCATATCACCCTGTTTAAAATAACAATACTAATTAAAAAAAATTTAGACAAAACTGTGAAAATCTGTCAGCAAGAATGGCTGGATTTTTTTTTTTTTGAATTGCATATTAAATATTAAACAGTGACGATAACAACAACATAAAAAATCTGAAAAATTAGGACATTTTTAGCTGATTTAAATACAGCAAAGCAGTATAATTTTACAGTCAGCCATTGTAAAAAAAAAAAAAAAAAAGTGATGCAGTTTTTGGTATTTTTTTTATTTTTTTTTTTACAGTCAAAATGTTAAATTTTTAAAAAAACAAATAAATTCTGGGAATTTGACCACCAGATTTAAAAATTATTTTCATATCAGTAAAATAATCACGTTTTTGGCTAAATACAGTATTTAAAAAAAAACAAAAAAAAATGTCATTTTACAATCAAACTCTATGAAAGAATGAATTACTATTTGTAAAAATACTGATTTTTGATGTGGACATTTTTAAACAGCTTCGCCCTGTTTTTACACTTAAAATGCAATTTCATTATTTGTTTGTTTTCTGTGATTTTGCTAGTTATTATATCAAAATAGCTGCAGCAAGTAGGGGTCCTCGGATCCTAAAAATTTGAGCTAAAAACTGTGTTGCAGCACATAACAAAAGGGCATAAACAGCTTTGTAGAGAGGACTAAAAAGAGCCTCCGGTTGAGGATATTAAAACAGCGATACTTGGCTGTAAACATGGAGGCTAACCCTATCATTACTTCAGATATACTGCATATCAGAATCTCTAAATCTGCATGTTTAGGACAATTTGTGTAGTGTTGGGTAAGTGTCTTGTGAATGCACCCATCCCATGTGCAGGAAAAGCCCTGATCCCCCACTGGTGCGGTTCATTGTGCCACTTTTCCAATCAGAAGAGCAGGCAGCCGCATCCTGCCTTAGCCTGCCCCTGAGACCTGTCAAAAAGCCCAGAGGCAACCCCACTGTCACTCTGTTTATCTGACCTTTCACCTGGCGGGAGGAAACAGGACGTCAGTGCTCTTGTGTGTTTGTGAAGATAACCGAGCAGCCGCCTATTCTTGCCGTTTAAGTGTCAGAGATGGCTCATGCATTCAAAAAGTCCCAGTCCAGGTGCAGCAGGAGTCAACAACCCTCCGCTGCCTCTCCTGTTAAATGGCTTTTGGACTCCCATCAACCGGAGCGCTCACAGTTGTCTGTTCGGCTTTGATGATGCTTAATAACATCCTTGATAATTTCAAGTAGGGTCGACTTTAAAGCTGCACAAGTCATTGAAGTCTGCAGTGTCACAGCTGCAGGGAGAAAAAAAATCAAAGACAGCGTTTGTTTAAGAATGAAAATCTGATACAGTTTATTGTTTGCATCAGCAGGTTTTACAGGGTTTTTTTTATATCAGGAAGTGATTTAAAAATTATGTGACTAAATCTACATCATGCAACGACAACAATGTGAAATGTACTGCATAGATCGAAGGCTACTGAAACAAAAAAAATCAGGCACATTTAACTGATCAAAAGAAAAACAGAGACAAAATCAAAAAGTTACGTCTGATAGATCCATAATCAGAAATCACAAAGAAACAGGTGAAACTTTTGAGAGTCGTGTATAAAACATAAAGAACCATTTAATCAAGTGTCAAATCTCACAGTGAAGTGTGCAATTTCTTTATTGCTGATTAAAAAAAAAAACCTTCAACTTACAAGTGAGCTGCAGGACAGTCTCACTAGATGAGAGATAATTATTCATTTAGTCACTTGAGATGTCGACTATCTCCATCTATTACAGATATTTGTTGATGCACTCAAAAATCATAAAATGGAAAATGGTGTTGTAATGTATTTCGGCTGATTGGTCCTGCACGCTGAATGAGCCTCTGTAGAATGATTGGAAGAACTGAATGGGCTCATTTCAAGGCTTGTAAGATTAATTCCAGATAGAAAATAGAAAAGCATCTAGTTGTAGATATACAGAAGATATGAGAAGAGACTCGTGATTTAAACTTTTATGATATGGCACACAATGGAAGTGCAGCCTTTTACATGGCAACAATCTTTGGTCAATATATGAATGGAAAGCACTGATTGCAGCCATTTTAGCCAGAAAGTGCGACAGGAGGATAGTGGAGGAGTTTTAAAGGCTGCGGTTTGTGGCTGCTGTCACTAATGCAGGGGCTGAAGAAGGGGAACGCCTTCCCCCTCGGCCCGCTGGCGAAGGAGTACAGCAGACTCATGTCGTCTGCGTTGTAGAAGGACACCTTCCTCTCGTCGCAGTCTAAGAAAACGCCGATCCTCTGCGGGGACGATCCGAGCTGCAGCCTCGTCCACGGTTGCGTCCCGGCGGAGTAATCGTTCCCGTTGCGCAGCCGCAGAGTCCAGTAGCCGGTTTCGGGGCTCAGCTTGATCCGGGCGTGCCGGTCCACTGCCTCGGAGGCGACGCCCAGGTCCCACTTGGGGTTGTAGCCCACGTCCACCTCCCAGTAGTGCCGACCCGACTGGAAGCTCTGCGAGGCCAGAATGTTGACGCACTGAGTGAAGCGCTTGCCGTGGTTCAGATGGTGGTTCATGACGTCGCATTCGACCGCCAAGCTTTTGTCCCTGGAGACGTGGATGCTCGGGTGCGCCGTGTCGACATCAAATGTTAATGGGGAAGGACCTTTAGGGGGGAAAACCATTCATTAAATGATAACGTCGGCGGTAATAAAGTTCAGCTTTTAAAATAAAATACATCCTTTCAGAGGAGCAGTGGTGTCACTCTGTCATTGTGTTGCCACTTCAACGTCTTTATTCATCACTCCCTTCATTTTCCCGTAATTACTGCCATTGTTGAGGCAGAAGCATTTTCCTGCGCGAGTCTTTATGTGTCTAATGAAGCACATCGGAGGGGAAATTACCTGGCTTCAAAGATTTGAACATCCTCCTCCATGCGATGTACTGTAACGGGGCCATGTATTTGTTGCTGAAGGCATTTATGTCAAACTCTGGAGCGATATCCACCTGCACGCATGGTCTGTGCAAAAAAAAAAAAAAAAAAATAAAGAGCAAAAATGTGTTTGGTTAAATAAATGAAGTAGGAATCACAAAGCAAATGACAGGTGCAACGATGCTACAAGCAATTAATTAGTCTTATCACTGAAATGAACACTTACCTCAGCTGTGGGAGCTGGTGAGAAGGGAGGGAAAAAAATCAAAGAAAAATATCATTAACAGCTTGTTTAAAATAGATATAAAAGTCACAAATTAGATTACACTCTGGGTTTTACTTCAGGTTTACATGTAGTGCACATATTGTCAAACTAACAGCTACTTTGAGGCAAATTCTCATCAAACCACTTAACATTCACCTCCATTTTTCCTCAAGAAAAGCTTCGAAGCACTTTGTTTGTCGGACTCAGAGTGCAGCACAGAGTGATTCAACGTGTTTGTGCCTCCATAGAAGACAGTAAAGATGAGAGGCTACTAATGAAGCACTTTACCATGACCTGAATGACTCAGTCTACACAGATGTAAGAAACTATCGTTTTGTTATGTACGCACTCTCATTTCAAAGTAAGTAACTACTCCAGCTGCTGCCGCTATTATAGCTGCGGTATGATACAATCAGTTGTGTGGTTTGTATCATGAGGCCCTGAGCTTACAAAAGATGTCTAATTGGCACCAATGCCATTGAAAACACAGCGGCTGAATTTTCACTCTGCCCTCACCTCGGTCAGCACAATGTCCTCGGTGGCGGCGCTGGCCTGCTGCAGCGCCTTCAAATTGTCCTCCAGCTCCCTTTGGGCCACCTCCACGGCCTCTAGGTGGCGCTGGACCTTCTCCAGCTCCTCCTCCTGCTCTCTCCTCAGCTGCTCCAGCATGCAGGTTTCCTCATCATGCAGGATCTGATGGAGGGCTCTGAAATCCCCTTTGACACGAGCCTGCAGATCTGCCCCGACTCTCTAAGGCGAGCAGGAAGAGTTCACGTTACGGACGGAGGACACAGCGCAGTATTTTCTATGTAGCGCCACGATTTTATTGACCCATCTCTAAGAGTTACTTAGGTTGCCAAGTGACTCGTTTCCATGAAACCTGCGACGAACTTGCAAAAGCACACACATCTAGAGAGAGACAAACTTGGGTAATGAAGCTACAATTAGCATCAAAGGTCTATGTGTCAAACAGGAGAGTGTACAGAGTGTTTAAGCAGGCAACGATTTCCTTTTCATCATCTCAGCCCAGCGTGAACAGCTAAAGACAAGCTCTTATCTCCCATCTGTCTCGTGCACTTTAAATGTGTTTTTGTTTCTGTCGCCTCTGCCAGAGCACAGTTTGTCACGTAGTTTAATGCATCTGTCCACTGAGGCACATATAGAGGAGTTGTTGAAAGAATGAGATTACATTGGCGCAAAGACTTACGATGTATATTTGATATACAATTAAATCAGCTTTGAAAGGCGTTCGTGCCTCCAAGTGCAAGGCCATTACGCTTTACCTATCAAAGCGCAAACTGTCACTTACCACAACAGCAAACAGCACTAAATAAGCACAGTGATATACTGCAAACAGCCATTAGGGAGGCACATGGGTATTCTGGTCTTCTAAGTGCTGCCATCCCTTTGCATCTCCACATGAGTGTACCTTTATGATATTCATTTTTTCTTTGTCTCTGCGAATGCTGTTGTTGAAGTCCTCTTTCCTCAGAAGATGGCTCTCCAACGTCTCTTTCAGTTGTTTCTGTAAAGCAGTAGGGAAATCAAATCAGTGAGAAACATTAGAACAAAGGGAAACTGTGCCGAGAGTCAAAGAACTCATTAACAACTGGAGAAGTGTGTAACCCTGAAAGACCAGAAAAAAAACAGCCCTGAAGCAACAGCGACCGCCTTGAAGTGTTCTGTTTTCACTTATATTGTCCCTGTTTGTGTGTTGACTCTGACGTTCTGAGGGCGCACTTTGTTGTGTTGCTTAATTAAACTGCACTAAATTCAAAAGGTATTTCTGATATTTTATGCAAGTTATGCAAACACTTGGAGGGGGAAAAATGTCTACAGTGGCTTATAATCTAATGCAATCTCGCAGCACAAAATACAGCCTTGAAGGAATATTGAAGGAACATTATAATAAGCGTGTTGTTTTGCGTGCGTGTGCCTTCCTGATGTGTTTTGTAGTGACCATGAGGTTGCCAGGCAACCAGCGCAGAGTGCAGGAAGTCACTGTGCCCTTCCAAGAACTAGTCCAGTACATACGCCCCTATAGCACTGCAGCTTGCTGTTGAACTTCTTCAGCTTTTGCACCAATTAAATGAAAAAAAGATGCAGAAAGTTATAAACAATCTTTATAGGTAGGTGGGTTTCATAATCAGAGAGCTCATCAGACTGTTTCTGGTCTTCATGCTATGTTATGCTAGCAAGCTGCTGACCTCTTACTTCCTGGAGATATTGCTTTTCTTATCTAACTTTTAGCAAGAAAGCAGATAAGCGTATTTCCCAGTATATAAAAAAACAAAACAATTATACAGCACAAGCATGACAGAGTTATAGTTTATTACAGCTACTTTGGATTGTCTTTGATGAAGAATGTCATTGTCTTTTATTTTGATGGTCACACACCACTGTTGCCATGTGTTTTCCCATCACCTTTTGTCATGTTTTTTCCCACCTCCTGTCACAGACACCCGATTCCACCCCCTGTTGTTCATTGTCCCCCTTACCTCCGGTCATTTGATTAACAACTGTATGCTATCAGAACTCCGATTCCATCACCTCTGATTCATTGTCCCCCCTAACGTCCGGTCATTTGATTAGCAGCTGTATGTTAATTTACCTCTATTCACTTCTGTATTTACATACAGGCCGTCTGACTTACCCTATAAATGTGTGACTCTGCATATGTTCAAGGTCGGTCCACCTTCACAGACTCATGCTCTGTGTTGGTGAGTCCACCGTATACCGGAATACTAATAAACACCCACTACAGCAAACTTCACATGAGGACTATGAGTAAAATTTCTTCAACATATTTAATAACATGAAGGTGGTTTAATTATTCTGGAGTCCACGTTGGTGCCCCTGCTGTGCTTAGGCTTAATATCCTGTCATACAAAGCGACATAAAAGGGAGTGGAGAGAGAACTTTGGCCCGAGCAATTCAAGCAGGCCAGCGTGGAGCCACGGTGACAGAAACACAGATGTGAAGCGAAACATTGACTACAACTGCACTGAAGCTATATAAATGTCACAGAGTGCTCATAAGCAATCGATCGATTTACTTTAGAGCATAATTATTATTTGTATAAGATTACCAAACAGCTAATGATGACCCAGAGTACATGCATGGAAGACAGCCAGCAGGATATTGGTTACATATACAGCCGAAGTGAGATAAAAATCAGTGAACTCACCTCTAGGCTCTTGATGTAAGTGTCCGAGGTGGTGGCCCGGACCTTCTCCACCATGGCTGCCACGAGGTAGTTAGTCTGAAACTGCTTGGAGCTGAACTCCTTGCGGCACTGCGGGCAGGTTACAGGCCCCTGCGTTCCTCTCCAGTACCTGGAGATGCAAGGTCTGCAGAAATGATGCATGCAGGCCAACATGACGGGCTCCCTGAACAGGTCGCAGCATATGGCACACGTCAGGTCCTCTCTCAGGCTGCCTTTGGTGGATGGAGCAGAAACAGCAGCAGCAGCAGCCATGATGCAGGCTTGTGGTTTCCTTGAAGTCCGTCCACACTGAGGAAGTGAAAGCAAGACCTCTGGAGTGAAACAGGGAGGGATGTTCTCCCTTTCTTGCTGGATCTGCTTGTTCAGTCAGCTGCTGAAACACACTAAAGAACAAAGAAATACATTCACTTTAAATTAGCTCTTCAGTGTCTAAATTTAGACCCAGCTGCACTTTGATCTCCAACACTGATAACACAAAGGTGCTAAAAGCTGCAGTCATGTCTGAACCTACTTGTTATAACCACATTGCAAATCGCGGTGACCAACAGTGGACATCAGCTGACGGATCACGGGGCTGTAAGCTAGCTGCTGGTGGGCGTTGTGGTTTGTTTGTTGTTGTTGTTTTTTTTCAACACTGCCTGAAGCTTGCTAGCGTTTAGCTGCGAACGGCTACACAACACAAACAGCTAATTTTACCAACTAATTAACTATAATAAACACTTGGGGAGCTGTTTGATGAACTTACGTCGTCTGTTGTGTTGGAAAATTGAAGGCAAACACTTGAAAGTTGCTCCCGCTGCTCTCTGATCCCTCTCTGGCTGCCGCTGTTTGGGAACAGGACGTACGAGTGCTCTGCGCATGTGCAGACTGCAGTCCCCACCTGTGATTGGTCCTCGTGTTTCACCACAAACAGCAGCTTGTAAACACACATGACATCTTGGTGTCCTCCACTTGTTCACTGTTTCACTTTTCATCTTCTGCACAGTTGAAAATTGGCGCTAATTATCATTCAGGCCTCTTCACTTTGTTCTTTGTGTTTTTCCACAAGCAGGGAAATTTGAATAAGATATCAAGTCCAAACCTCACTCCTTAGGGAAATTGCCACCACATTTTTTTTCTTATTCTAAATAATACATTTGCTACAATACAATACTGCAGCTTCCAGGCCATGTCTTCAAATTCTTGTTATAATGATGTAATTCTGGCAAAGACACGCTCAATCCCTTGTAATCCCTTAACATAAAATGATTACATTGGGTTGCCAGCATTCTCCAGTAATTTATGCAGTACTTTCATAAAGTTGGCATATTTACCAGAGTCTTCTTTCTTTTCTTTTTGAATAATAAAGCAGTGAGACTACACTTCAAAAACTGCTGGGTTAAAAAAATGAATAAATAAATAAAAATAGAACACATGCTGGGTTGGTTTGACCCCCTTTTACTCGGTTATATATCACCCATTAACCACTCTAATTATTATTATTGTAGTAGTATAAATGTTATTCTGTATAAATACAACTGTACCACTTTTAACTTAGTGACTATGTTAATAAAACTGACTGAACGGTTCCTTTAGAGTCCCTAAAACCTCGTACAAGCAGTCATCAGAAAAACAACAGTGATCTACCTACAGTAACACACTCGTGTAGGAACATTTCAGCCATCGCACTGTTTAATTAAAGTTACATAAATTAAATATATGGAACAGTCTCCCAACGGTGATGAATAGGTTTAATATACAAGCTCTAAAAGCAGCAGGTGGGCAGTGATTCCGCCTTTTCATTCTGTTAACTTCTCTTCATGTGAAACTGTCTACCAGCTGCAAACTCAGTCACGCGCCCGAGATGATTAAATAATTCAGAATGTCAAGAAACTGTGCAAAGGTTTATGACTTAACCTTTTGCCCTATTTTCCTTTTTAAAATGTTACCAGGGTGACTTTAGCTCGTGCTTTATCGACATCCTCCTGTTAGAATTCAGCATCAACGATGAACACGGTCTGCGGCATGTTGCACTATTCACACTTCATTAACACGTTACAGTCTTGCTTTAAATTCATTTTGCTTGTTTTTTGTTTTTTTTTATCCACTATGAGATTTTTCTTTTTTCTTTTTTACAGACCAGTAAAAGCGCTGTGCCCCCAATCAAGGATACGATCACATCTTACATGCCCACACTGTAACAATTTGCTGAACAGATTGCTGAACATTTTCCAAGCTCAAAGCAAGAGAACCATGCTCAGGGTCATTTTTTCAGACTTTTGAAAGACATCTTTAAAGCTTCAGAAGACTTCATACAATGGATGTCACAGGCTAGGTAGGTGCTTTCTGTTACGAGTGAACTTGATGTTCACTTGATCAGTGGATTAAAATGATGTTTTTCTACACTTGTTTCTACAGTAACTGCAGAATGTACATTCGCTCTGAAGTTTTGAAACAATACAGAGGAGTTCATCTTGGTGTGGTAAAAGCTGCACATCTCTAATCTGTGCTTACTGGCCTCTGTTTTTCTTTTTCTTTTTTTTGTCTAATTTCTATTTGCTATTCTTTTCTCTCACCCATTCACCCTCATCCCAACTGGTTGAGGCAGGCAGCTGCCCTCGACCTGGTTCTGCAGGAGATGTATTGAACTAATCTACAATTTCTAGGGGCTTCACCTGACTATGTGAAATACCTTGTGGCGACATATGCTATGAATACAAATAATGTGAGATTTAAATGCTGGTTTAATGGGCTGGATACAGAAATGTTGCCTTGAGAAAGAGAGAGAAACAGGAACGGCTTCACCATCCTTCACATATTGACCAAGTCTTAGCATAAAAGCCAAGTTCACCGGGAGGTATAATGAGAACCTCCCGCGTAAATGTTTACCATCGGAATCCAATTTACAAACTTCACAGACTCTCCATCATTACAAATCAATATTTTTTATCACTGGGGAATTAAAAGCCGTTATTTGCATTACACAACCATGAAGTGTAACCACCGTGAGAAACAGCCAGCGCAAAAGGAAACTGACTGGAATGAGATTTTCTCCGACTGCGTGACCTTAACTTCCACATTCATAAATTCACAGTGTCTGCACGGAAAGACAGGCGGACAGATGCAGGAACAACACACGCTGTGCGACGTGAGGACGCCACAGTCTGTGATTGTGTCATCAGATCAGTGGCACCAGAGCTCTCAGAGGAGCTGGACAGAGGCAGGCCATCAGATGGAGGGCAGTAAGTGCAGCAACCTCAGCCGTGTGGAGGTGAATCCTAAAGAGCTCACAAACAGGGAACATGAAGATTGACACGAGTCCAGGTAGGTTAAAGACGCAGCAGCAGCAAAGACACTCATGAAACAAGGAGGTACACAGTGAAGCTAAATGAGAATTTGCTGCTCAACCACACTGCGAAACTTCCTCCCCACTTTTCTGTAAGCTGTTAGAGATTAGAGAGTTTGTCATTAGTGATGCAAACAAGTCAGGCTCACCGAGAGAATTGTCAACCTTGACTGCAGAGCGACCCAGTGCATGTGGAGGCCGGGGGACGGCTCTCATAATTGAAAGAATAAATTGAGGCGGAGAGGTAGCTTGCCTCAAATCAATAAGGCTAATCTCTGTTTCTGAGGCAATCAAGGCACCAATTATTCCATGATCAAATAAAGTCCCGCTGAAAAGATTCAAGGATCTCGTACAGTGCTGCTGCTGCCTGGACACTAAATTTGGTCTGAAAGCAACTCTCAGCAGCTCCCGAGGAAATACAGAAATAAGTCACAAGGGAAGACGTACATGACACTCTCCTGGTGGATGGAAAAGGTCTTCAACTTGACTTATAGGCTGCTTTGTTAAATGTCATTGCATCTGGTCAGGCTGCCTCATTTCAAACAGTCAAGTGCTGCAAGTTCTTCTATTAGTTCAATATATTTCAAGGCTGTGAATCGCATTTCCTCCAAGGTAAATTTACTTCACTTTCCTCGGAGGTCGTCTTTAATGCAAAGTGCATATTGTTAACAACATAGTAGAATCAGCCCTGAGAAATTTCATGACATCCAGCATTCTTTTCAGAAACCCCTTCTAGCATTGTTACATTACATGAAAGAGAAATGGCTGCAGGCACACAACAATATGACCCCGTTCATTCGAACCACACAAGAATTGAATTTATTCAGGTGAACGACACACTCTGAATACTAAAATATTGATTGAAATTCCTCACCAAACTATTCAAATGTAGTACAATTCAATACATCTCACACTTGTGCCTGCATGGGCGCAGTTTTCAGCTAAAAATAACATTCAATAACAGCTTTCATCTGTCTAAACAAGTCATGGGAGCTCACACAGATGAGATTATCAGAGGTTTGTGTCTTTATTGTTTTCCGGGGAAATCAACTAAATGCGATTTCATGCAGTTTAACAAACACTGGCTTGCTCCATAATGAAATTGTATATGTCACAGGGCACTTTTGTTGTTCATTTGAGAGCAGAAATTAGCGATAGGGATGTGGAGAATCGAATAAAGCAATATAAGGATTTGCTTTACAGCCCTGCATCGTTCCAAAGTCCATTTCAATTTGTACACGTAAATAAGTTGAGGGGAAAAAACAACTCAGAGGAAGAATGTGCAATGCTTTCCTTGAGAGAAGGTGAACCATAAATGCAAATCAAACTGCAAAATGCAATCAACTCAGTCTGCCGTGGCACTTTGAAAGGACATTCTGTGATACCCAGCTACATCTCTTCACTGTGTAACGCAGTTGAAATGAAAAAACACAGATGCCCCACTTTAAAAAAAAAAAAAAAAAAAAGTGATCTTCAAAGCGGAGTCCCTGCGCACATCTCCAGTGACGGTCCCTGGCACAGATGTGGACGCTCGCACTGAATCCTGTAAACCTGAACGCACAGTCGAGCCACAAGATGCGCACTAGGCGCTACAGGCTGGGAGGAGCTTCGGGATTTTTCCCACTTGTTTCATGCCACTCTCGGGTGAAGACTGGTTTGCAGAAAGAGATACGGGGAAAAGGTAAGTCCATTAGCGCTCATTTGTACTTTAAATCAATATTGCGAGGGTGTTTTTTTATTTTTTTTAATGACAAAAAAATAAAATGTATCCCTGAGGTGCAGAAGAAGAAATGATCTGTTCTTTAGTGGAGAGCGTAACCTGTAGTTATTATAAGTGTTATAGGTGCGTAATTTGGAAAAAACCTGTAAAGAACCAGGGCGAAGAAGTGTCCAAATTACAGGGGGATATTTATGATGGAGACAAACGATTTTTGCACCTGTCTGGTCGGTTGAGGAAGCTGTGAAAGCGCATTTGGAGATATTTGAATGCTGAGTAAGTTGAACAAATGGGCACAAATTACGCATCAATGCATAGTTGATTAGCAGTGAGTTGTCTCATCATAATCTGATGGCAGTGCGTTTTTTTTCTCACTCTCTCTCTCGCTCGCTAGAATCCGGATTAATTGTGGATTTAATTATTTTTTCTTGGAGGTGTATGGTGCAAATTGATCAGCCTGCGATCGCTGATCAAAAGAAAAAAGGTGCCCTGACAAATTGCTGATGTTTTGTAAAGTACAAATGTCGCCTGCAGCCTGCCTGATGAATCCACGCTGCGTGCTCCTGTGCAGCTGTGTGATCTGGTGACAGAGGCTCCAGAGAGAGTGTACATGCTTTTTGTGTTATTGGCACTGCTACACTTTAGCTGTCATGAACACATTTTCTGTGGTCCCTATAGATTATAATAATCCTCTTGGCACACAGTGTGTTCAGTGTCCTTCATTCTTTCCTCTCTTTTAGGCCTCACACCTGATATTTTTCATCCTCTACCCAAAGTGTTTTTTTTTTTTTTTTTATGTTCAGGGGATTGCGCAGTAACTTAGAGGCCACACACACACATTTGCACACTTGTTGTTCTGGCTCTAGGTCAGCAGGAGATCTGCTTTTGCTGCGATCCAGTGCCTATGCAGTTTAATTATAACATCACTGCACATTCTGCTGCACTCCACAAGTTCAATCTGAGCAAGATCCTTGAAAAGCAATGACGCCAGCAAGCTATAGTCTTTCCAGTGGTTTGTCAAGAAATGGGCTGGATCCCCAGAGCAACCAAAGAGTGTCTGTCACCAAAGAGATGACCTCTCACTTAACGGTGTCCTGGTTTGTCTCAGTGATCCCATAAAGAAAAAGTGCAAAGTCACAAAAATGTGCACTGTCAGTTCAAGCCAGTGAGGAAGCCACAAGTGTCCAGTTTTTATTACGAAAAAGTAAATCCCTTAAAATCACAATGCCGTGGATATGCTGAAAGCATCTCGCTGGGTTTAATGGCGCTCGATGCAATTAGAATTCAGCTGCTTAACAAGAATGCAGAGACTTTGCCATTATTCAAGAGTCAAACAGTGGCAGTGGTTGTTATCCATGCCATGACCAAACGTACTTTCTCGGTTCGGCGGGAGCTCTCAGTGTTCCATTGACAAATAGGCAAAAACTACAATGGAATGAACCACCAAATTTCTTTTCACATTGAAATAGTGTTGTTTCATACAAAGCATATGACACAATGTCCCCTTTATGAGATCCAGACTGTGCATACCAACACTCTGCAGCTCTAATGATGTAGAATGAACTTGCTGACTCCTCCTGGTCGCATCGCTTCCACCGTCATTTTCCTTTCACCAGTATAATGACACAGGTGATCACATCTCTTGGAAAAGGTGCAAAAACAACCAAGAATGCTACCTGTAGATCATGGATAAAGAAGTTTTTAAATAGAGGTTGGAACAAATCTGTGAAAAGAGAGCTGATTTTCTATTGATCATCATCTGTTACTGATGATGAAATTTCATTTTCTTGACCTTTTCAGAACATCCACCTCCTCAATGCAATCGTGGACAGTTGTTCAGATAATTAGGCTGCATGCATGAGAGAACTCTCTTATCTTCTAAATTGCAATGTTTCATTGCTTTTCTAGCTAAATACTTGACAGTTTTAATATCAGTGTAACATTTGCATGCAAGCTACTCAGTCAGGGTGGTGTAAAGTGATTAATGAAACTCTTGTGTATCAGCTCTTTTCTGTTCAAGTCCATTACAAAGTTGAAATTTTAGTCAGAGCTCTTGCAGTTTTGCTGATGAGGCAATGACCCTGAAAATATATGACATGGTTTCCTGTACATAATAATCGAAACAGTAATGCTGCTAAGTTGTCTATCTTAACATGCTGGTGGGAACATCTACAGCTCATGTCTATGATGGAGGGTAATTTGTGGTCCATGAAAGGGGCGCAAAAGGGTTAAAGGGTGTAATAAAAGTGGTTCAAGCACTGACCCACGTCCAAAGAGATCAGATTTCCAGCACAACTGGTAATATTTGACAATGGGAAGCCAGTGAGGGATCGTGCCCCCTTAACAGCACGATTAATTTCACTGTTTTATCACGGTGTTTAGAAAAGGACAGGAAGACTGATCCGTGTTGCATCGCTCAAGTGACTAGAAAAGCAAATCAGCGGTGCAAATTGGAGAGAAAAGTGCTAAATAAATAAATAAACACTTTGACTAAATCACTGTCATTTGTTGGAAATCGTCTTCTCTCCGACTTGTCTCGAAGAGCTGTTTTCATTTTATTCTTCCTCTGCTCAGGTGTTGGCACATCCTTTGAGCATCTCCTGCTAAAATGAGCCCTCCAGACATGTCCAACAGCACAGGAGAAGGGGAGGCTGGTGACACCGATCCCTCGGCTCTGCTCAACGACAGCATGGGTTTACGCCCGCCGGGTTTTCACACCGACATCACCAAGCACCTCGGGGTCCAGATCACCCTGATCACAGCCTATTCCCTGATCATCCTGCTGGGCCTGCTGGGGAACGCTCTCGTCATCTACATGATCATTCGCTACAGAAACATGCGAACGGTGACCAACTTCTTCATAGCTAACCTGGCCCTGGCAGACCTTCTCGTGAACACCCTCTGCTTGCCTTTCACTCTGGTTTACACTCTGCTGGACGAGTGGAAGTTTGGGGCCGTGCTGTGCCACATGGTGCCCTTTGCCCAGGCCCTGAGTGTGCACGTGTCCATCCTGACTCTGACTGTTATCGCTCTGGAACGCTACCGCTGCATCGTCTTCCACCTCGGTCGACGCCTCACGTGGCACTCCAGCTTCCTCATCATGGCGTTCACCTGGACAGTGTCTGCCATCCTGGCGGCTCCCCTTGCCATCTTCAGAGAGTACCGCAACGAAGAGATCCCCTCCATCAACCTGCGTATAGCCGTGTGCTCTGAGAAATGGCCTCACGGGACCAACAGGGACGGAGTCATCTACAGCCTCTCAATGCTGCTCCTACAGTACATTATTCCTTTAGCCATCATCAGCTACGCTTACATTTGCATCTGGGTCAAACTGAAGAATCACGTCAGCCCATCAAACCGCAACGACAGCATCAATCGCCGCAAAAAAACCACAAAGATGCTGGCACTGGTGGTGGTGGTGTTTGCGATCTGCTGGCTGCCGTTTCATGTGTTTCAGTTGGCCAGCGACCTGGACTTGGTGCTCCGGTTCAAGGAGTATAAACTGATATACACTGTGTTCCATATCGTGGCTATGTGTTCCACTTTTGCCAATCCTCTCCTGTACGGGTGGATGAATAAGAACTACAGAAATGGCTTCCTCATGGTTTTCCGTTGCGAGGATAAGCCGGAATCTTTCCACCCAGAGGGCTCGTTCAGGACACGCTCCTTAAGACGGCTGACTCTTAATGGTCGTAATGGTGGACAGCCTCCCACCGCTGTATGAGGTGTAGACAATTTCAAATGCCTGTAGAATATGAACACATAATGCGCACCTCTGCTTCATGGTGCTCGTGATTCAGAATTTGACTTGAACGGTCTGATCCTGAGTATCTTTGTCACTGGAGAGGGCCCAAAGCTTTGCATGCAAATCGCTTTCTGTAGGCTCTTCTTTCCTTTGTGAATGGTTCTAGTGATATACATTTGTCAAACCTATTTCAAAATGTGTTTACGATGTTTATGTAGATGTTATTTAACTTGCTTCAGTGTGTAATGTGTTTTCCTGTAAATGCAGAAGCTCTTGTTGGTAAGTTATGTCTAATTTATTATACTTACTGAAGGGAACATGGTGATTATGATTATTGGTGACTGTGAGAGTTTTTAAATTTTTCACACTTGCTTTTCAAAATATTTGGATGATTTTCAGCTAATTAATCCAAATGGTGTGTTTTGGATTAATTGCAGTGTTCTCGCACATTTGCATTCAGTCTTCGTCCAAGAGATTCAAAACAAGGGGAATCGCTAATTTTCTGCCCAGACAGGAATTTAATTGTGTTCACCTGGCAACCAGATGTTCCTGATTTAATGGAGCAGCAGGACTCCTGAAGAATCACACTGAAAACCAGTGACCTGTGTGAAGAGAGAGCAACAAGTTATTGATATTGTCGTCGCAGAACGGGGGCAGCTGCTTTTAGGGACATGTGAAATGGAGGGCATTGGATGTGCAGTTCTACATTCATCACCCTGCTGCTTAAGTGTCCTCTGTTGATGGGTTTTAAATGAACACAGGAACATTAATCAATCGCAGGGCCTCTGGGAACACAAATCCAAGGTCTGATTTAGACCATCAGTAGAGATTTGATGCTTTTATGCCTCCATGTCAAAAAAAAGAGACCTTGGCTTGGATAGGTAAATGGAACTAAAGATATAGACGCAGCATGCAAAAGGGTTTCTCTTCTGACTTTGGAAAAAAGTTCAAAAATCAAATTTCTTTCGTTAAATTTAGGCAACGGTGCGGAAAAAATCGAGCTCTTCAAATGGTGACAGATTCTCAACCGGTGAGTTAATCAATACTCCGGTCAGGTGTGGCTTTTAAGGACAATGATCAGATAGTGTGACCAGTGACTACAAAAGGCCAACTTAAAATGCAGCTTTATTCAAATGACTCGATGCCACAGATGGCAACAAAGATGAGAACGGGCTGTTGACATGCTTGGATGCCAGTTAGGACCGTAAACAGACACTTGAATGTCAGCAACTCCATCATTTGTGAGCTAAAAAATTGCTTCAGACAGCTCTGGATGGATGTGTCTGACAACGTGATCATGTCTGCCAGCTTTATTAAGCCCTTCACACATAGCGGGGCGTCATTCTGCAAAAATCAGCATCGACATCTTCATTAACTCCATGCATCGCAGATGTGTGACTTGTTATTGACTTTTTAGTCTATGACCCCATTCTCCATCTTTCCATCATCATCTCCAATATAGTAGCGCGCTCTGTCGCTTCATGACATCCATTCTGTCATAGAGATGCCTTGTGTTGGAACCACAAATCCACAATCCTCTAATTTAAGAAGAATGAAAAGTAGAATTTAATAAAATATTACATGCTGCATTTGTATTCTTGTCCAGTACATCTTTAGGTACGATGAAAGAAGAATAAATGCCTGTTAGATCCTTCTGAGTGCATTGCAAAACTGAAAATATTGGCATAATGTGAAAATGTGTCGAACACCACACACATACACTGTGTACTTACACTGTACAGCAAACATACGTTTTAACTGTCTGAATGTGACGGCTGGAAAATCCATCTGAGCATTAAAAAGAAAAAAAAAGAGGAATAGAATTAAATAAATCAGAGCTTTATCAAAGTAGACATACACTTTTAATTTTGAAAAAAAAAAAAAAGTGGGTCGAAGTTAATCCAAAAAGCGTGTAATTATCAAGAAGACAAATGTGGCCTACGTAGTGTGATTCATTTTACAGCAGAGAAAATACCCATGTGTGGCTCTTGACACCCACACCACTGTTCTCTATATTCCTCCATGCGCTGTAGGTTATTATAGAAGCGCTGTGCCTTTATCAGGACCACATTAATCTTGGATCCATGGCATGAGACCCAGTAGGCATTAGAGTGGTTGTGTAAAAACAGAATAAAAATTGCATGCCAAGGTCAGATTCACAAAACTAATCAGAAGATAAATTACTGCATTATGTTTTAAAGAACCTGTCTTAGCTGTTTTGACAATTTTATCAGGCATTTGACCCTAAATTTTATTTAAAAAAACAAAAAACAAAAAAAAAAAGCTTTCAGAGGAAGCAGTGGGGGATTTTGCGATCCTCTGCTGCCCCCTAGTGTTCCGACCAGGCACCGCAGCCTGCAGCAGCCCGGATGTGTCGTGGATGTTTGACCTTCCCCCAACTCCGCTTCACATGATTTGTCGGTGGCTGCACGATGAACTTCATCTCCGCTGGAGTCTGGAAATGCAAATTCTGAGCCTTTAAACGCTGTCGCCGAACAGGTAAACGTCTCTGTCTCTGAAATAACCTCGCAAATGTACCGTGTTTGACGCGTGTGGGAGAAATTTCCCCGCAGCTCGCAGTGAGTCATTCATTCATGCGGGTAGCCTCATGCTAGGCTAGCTCATGCTAACGAGGAAGCTAAGGGAGTGCGGACGTGACGAATGTGACTGTTTTATCTCATGGTAGCCCCTCACTGTCGAAGAATTTATTAGCTTGTAGTCGTAATAACAGATGAATAGTTTGTTGTCAGTCACAGCAAGAGACTTAGTGTGATATTAGTGAAGCTGTGAGCGTGTTTTACGTGTGTTTGACTGACAGCTGTCAAGTACCGTTAGCCAGAAAGATCAGGAAAAGCTGTCTGTGCTAACGGTCATAGTGTATGTCAGAATATACGGTCATTTTTGTAAATTACTTGATTATTGACACACTTCTCGACATTTCATCCAACTCTGTCTGTTTAAAGCTTCTCGCACAAACCAGGCAAACTGACACGTTGTTGTTTGTTCCGTTTCAGGGTTGCGTCAAAGTAAACGAAGGGAACAATGGTGAAATACTTCTGCTGCGCAGATTTGCTAAAAAACACCTGGGACCAAGTTTGTGTTGCTTTCTGGCAACGATATCCCAACCCTTACAGGTAAAACTACGACTTCTTTACCCCGTTTGCAGACCTTTGGGACAAGTTTGGATTATGCATTAACATGTGTTTACTGAGAGGGTTAAACAGTGGTGGAAGTGACTTTTTCTCAAGCAGTAAACAGTACTGACATACTGGTACTAGTGTTACTATTACATGATTCTGGACTGTTAGTCAGCCTAAACAAATAATCTGAATAAGTCTGCTGTTCCTTACCTTTTTGTCATTTTACTGTCCAAACCTTTAAGCATTTAACTACTGATTTAACCCTCTGAACTCCCAACAGTTTCTAACATTTCCTTGCTTCTGTCACATTTCCACTCACTGTGGGCTCATTTTCACTGCAATATAAAGTCTTGCACCTCTATGGAAACAGCACAACCATGGGCAGAAGTATAGAGAACCTAAAAATGTCCTCTGATTAAGTTGTAATGCCTTTAATCATCACAAAAGAAAATCTAAAGTTTAATTTCTGCCATTTTTTTGGTAACACAATAAATAGAAAAACAGATACTGAGAAAAAAATACTACCTCTTTGTCCTATATATGTTTTCTTATGTAGATTTTGAATCGGTGTCCTTGTCTCTTATCTGCTTTGTGCAAACACAGCATGCAGTTCAATCCAGTTCAGTTGAAAATCCTTGAATTGTTGTGACGTGACTGTTGGTCAAAGCTTAGTCACTATTGACTTCTTGATTTTTACAGGATATGGTGAATGCAAACAATTTGTTTTTTGCAATTTTTTTGAATGAGGTATGTGGAGATAGTGGTTTAAATCAAGTATCACAACTTTAAGCTAGATTTGGTTAATTTTCCCAGTGGATTTGCACTTAAATAACACGTAAGTAATTAATTCAAGGATCGGCACGTAGTTAAAAATCTGATGATTCTTTCTTCCAATATATTTTGGGGTATTGCAGGTTAGTTAATAAATAAAGGTTTTATTTGGTCATTGACATGACTCATCCCTTGCAGAATTATTCAAACACATTAACCACATACCAAACATTAAAACATGTGAACCACCCTCATCTAATGATGTCATCCTTCACATAGAAGACATTCTGTGCAAGTGTTTTTCTAGAGCTTTTAGAGTTTCTTAGAGCTTTAACTAAAATGATCAAATTGATAGGTTGGTTAATTATTATTTTCTTTTATTTATTCCAAAGTCTTATCAAGCTAAAATGCAAAACAATTACTTCTAAGTGCTACTTACTGTTTCTCACATGTGAGTATGTGTTGTTTTATATCAACTGTTGGCTGCACAAAACATTTTTTTTCCTCAATCGACTGAACAATAGGGCTGGGCGATTAAGCTGAAAAGTTTATCACAATAACACTTTGCATTTCAGTCTGTGTCGATAACTATTGATCACGTTTTATAATGTATTTGTAGTGAGGACTGGCAGGAAAAAAGGCTTCTTTTTAATTGTTTTGAATTCAACCACTTCAGACTATTTCTCAAGGTGCACCATTAATAATGTTGATAACAATGTGAAAAACACATTCACACACATAAATAAGAAAAATTAGTAGTCTCACTTTGATACGCATTAATTACGGAGAGAAAGTAAAACCCAGAGGCGTATGGAGGGTAACCAAGGCGAGGCTGGCTAGGACTGAGTGTCACTGGACGGGAACCCTACACCGGCCTCCATGTGCACCCTGACGTCAAGTCCGTCAGCCCTCAGAGCGGGGAATGTGTCGCTTAGGTGCAAGTGGTGGGGGGCAGGGTAATTTAAAATATTGGTGTTTTTATAGTGCAAAGCCCATCTTTTAAAGGCAACAACTGGTCCCAGTGATGAGAGGTCCAGGTAGCTGTGGACAAGCAAAAGGAGCCCATCATTAAAGGATATGATGGGCTGTTCATGAGCCAGGGAGAGAGCATGCTTGGGGTTTGTTCATGCAACCAAATTCTGCTTTTTTTGATCTGTGCTTTCTCAGTGCAGTTGATAAAATGTGCATCAGATCGTTTTAATTGAAGCAGATAACATACAGAAGTATTTATAATAAACATAATCATTAGCTGTAGCCCTTCACAGACATTTTGTATCGTTTTAATCTGTACCTTTTCCTTCTTTTCTAGTAACCATGTCTTGACTGAGGATATCATTTTCCGAGAGGTCACTCCAACCAACTGCCTCATTTCCAGACGTCTGTTGACCAAAACTAGCCGTGCGCCCCGATGGATGGAGCGGTATCTTCCCAAGCACATGGCCAGCTCGGCGTACATCATCGAGGACTCCATTGTGGACCCTCAGAAAAGAACCATGACCACACTAACATGGAACATCAGCCACGCTCGCCTCATGGTACTTCAATGTTTGCCTCTATAAGCACTCAACCTTGTGCAGAACTATAACGTGGTCTCATGTTGGTGTGTTTTTTGCTGTTTGTCCCAGTCCGTGGAGGAGCGATGTGAATACGGAATTAACCACGAGAATGGCAGCTGGACTGAGATTAAAAGGGAAGCTTGGATCTCTTCCAATGTCTATGGGCTCTCAAGAGCAATTCAGGTCAGTAGAGTAAAGTGGAGCGCCACACTATGTAACAGCCCGGGGAAAGTGGTGTGGGGCAGCCAAGAGGCAGGCTCACCCACCTATCCTTCATTCTGTAATTAGTAACATAATACACAGTGTTAAGATAGAACAGCTGAGCAGTTCAAACTGTCTGCCAAGGTGTGAATTACTGAATGATTTGTGACAGTGAATCAGAGAGTTCCTGTATTGTTGCCAAGCTCCGGATCAACAGTGAACATGTGACGACATGAGTTATATGTCATTATATATTCCAACAATCTTTTTCTGTCTTGGGTGACATTGTCTCTTCTCTTTCTAGGAATTTGGACTTGCACGGTTCAAGACAAGTGTTACAAAGACCATGAAGAGCTTTGAATATGTTCTCGCCAAAATGCAAGGTAGGTCCTCATTAAATTAATCATTATGTGTGCAACTGTGTTTATATTTAATTAACAGTGTGTGATACCATCAGTAATTGGGGATGTCCTGTTGTTATCTCAACGATCAGAATGAGGACAGATGAAGGCTTTTTTTTTTAGCTAATTGGTGTCAACATGATCCTAAGCCTAATTCTTTGCTTACGTCTGCTGTCCCATATCATAAAGGGAGACCACAACTTGTGGTAGGATGCACATTTAAACTGGTTTTTAAAGCAGTAATCTCCAGCCATGTCAATCCATAATGAATTTATTGATAACACAAATGGAGCACGGAGGACATTTGTTCTGGGCTAATATATATTTATTCAACAGACATGTAGTATGGTCGGCAAAAGCTGCTCTGTTATATTTGTTACTGGGACACTGTCTAGACTAAGTGACCGCCTCCTCTGGCTGGTACAGTATCAAACAGTAAGAGGCTCCACCTGCTGGCACAGCCATTTAATACAGTTAATCTGCGGTACATTTTCTGACCTGCAGAGAATATGGGTCTTTTGGAGCCACTGGATCCCCTACCTTATTGACAATACATTTCAGTCAGGGACCTACAGGAGCTTTACAGCAAGGTTCATGACAGCTTGGATGGAAAAACACCATTTTAACTCATTGCATTGCAGAGCTCTTCAGTTGTATAGATCAACTTCATTTTAATAACTCTAATGTACTTGAAGTGTTTGCATCTAGGAAAATGGTATTGGAATGAGACTCCGTATTGGCAGACACTAAATACTACAGTACTTCAAATGGATCAGAGGCATAAAAAACTTCCCTGGTAGTTGTTAGTGCACTGGATTACATTAATTGCTGGAATGAATGCATAGTTTATCTTATTTGTAATATCTGCAATTATGAAAAGTCAAAGTTTGCGCTATGATAAAGGAAAGATAAAGAAGAAGAGGTTCACTGAGGCTGACAAGAAAATTAAGATTTAGCTCAGCACTAATTAATCTGCTATAAAGTTTGCCTGTCAACTGTTTAATCGCAGTGAAAGCTACAACTAGTAATTACTTCTATAGTAATTGCTCAATAATGAGACGTTCATTATCAATTTCACAAAAGAGGTTTAGTCTTTTGTCTGTAACAACCCGGCTTATTCGACTATACTTACCATCCAAGGTACAATCATCTTTTAATAGGACAGTTTAATGTGTGTTAAAGTCTAACAATGTAAAATGTGTTGTCAGTTTTCAGCCACTGTTGTGATAGCTGAATCTAAACAAAGCAAAGGTGTTAATTATATGCGTAAAATCTACTTGTTTGGTATTTTGAGAGCATCCACCTCCACCTGTATCCTGTTGAAACCCTGCTGACTGAGGCTAAAAGCTCTGTAATGATTTTTTTTTCTTCTTTTAATGTTGCTGGGAAACAGATAAGCTGAAAGCCAGTGCAGATTATACTGATGATTGCAAGTGCCAGTGACAGTTCACATCTGTTATGGAACATCACTGGGTTTCCTGAACTACATAAACACTCAATTATGGTCTGAATTTTGTTCTTTTGTAGGCGAGACTCCATCCAGAACCTTAGCAGAAACTGCCACAGAGCGGGCAAGAGAAACAGCACTGGCAGCTAAAGAGAAAGCCAAAGACCTCGCCTCACATGCTCAGAAGAAACAATATGTGTGACGAGCTACACGAACCACTGCTTCTGCAGCCGCTGACACTGGGACAGATTTATATTTACCCCCTCTCTCATTGTTCAGTCAAGCACTGGGGTAAGACTAATTGGTCCCAGTCACGGTTGGACACCTCTGTGAGGACACGTCCCAACTGAAAGTGGTGGGTGGACCATAAAAGGCCTGAGCTGGGTTCAAGAGCCTGTTCCAGCCTCCCTGTTCATGTCACTCTGAGTATACTATACATCTGCATCATTTCAGTGTTCACCAGAGATAGAGATCTTAGAAGGGAATGGCTGAGCGTGGCTTCGAGTGCCATAAAATGATGATGATGGCCAACTCTGAAACTGTTCTTCAGACCTTTACTCAACCTCTGTGCCCATCACCAATGTCTGCTTTCTACTCTGTTCCTTTGAGTTCGCCTCGGCATTTTGTGATTCTTTACAGCTTCTTGTCTTGTCAGCACTTCTACAGAATTTCTGATTAGCGCTTTCTTGTTTGTGATTTGTTTCAGTTGTGTTAATCTCGCATACAATCACGTTGTCTTTGTTTGTTCACTCAATGGTACCTTAAACCTTCAACTAAGACTGATCATCTCATTGCTTCGAGTAGAAGCACATAGACAGGGAAAGAGTTTATTTTATTGGCAGTCATAGCCTTATTAAAAATATTCACTTGGCTTCTCTTGTTACAGCGGTAAGAGCAGGCTGCAGTGGATAAGAGTTTTTATCTCAACTGAAAGTGATTAAAAAGGCATAAAGAATGCTTGCATTGTACATTGAGCTTAGGCCTGGTGATGCAGCAATGTATTCTCATTCCATCAATAGAATTGTCAATAAATGGACATTTTCTTTCTAATCATAATGCTGTGGTGTCTTTGACATGAACTGTGTTTTTGTTCACTAGTCCTGATTCATTAAGATGGGAACAACAGGGCAAATCTGGGGGGTTGCTGAATAATTAGCATGAATAATAACATAATCCCCCCCCCCTTAAAAATACACCAAGGAACATAAATCCCTCTCATTTGGGAACAAATAGAAAAGACTGCAAACGGCACTTAAATATAGAAAATATTTATTCATTAAAAAAAAAAAAAAAAGCTTACACCAGTACAAAAATGCTACATAATATTACTGGGCGGAGAGACAAATTAAAAAAATAGAAAAAAAAAAGTAATAAGGCATCTTGCATATACAAAAGTGAAGGAAAAAAGCACCTTCAGTTTTTTTTTTAAATATATAGAAATGAATATGATACTTGTAATACAGCATAAATTGCATAATCATTACAAGTGGACATTGCCTGTCTGACTGGTGAATTTGCTGTAATTAGCATCGTAACTGACAAATGCACAAGCGATGAAGTGTACAGCTCTGACGGCGGACACCTCTAAGAAACACATCAGTTAATATATTAGCAGTGAACAAAACTGACTGTCATTAGACCTGCGCAAGGAGCCCCTTAATGCTTTCAATTTCTCTTAAACACAGGCATCGAAATCCTTGCACGTAAATTACACGCTGAATTGCGCACCAGTACATCAAATTGATATTCGGCAGTGTTACTTAACGGCCAGATATCTTTGTGCAAATATGACCGGTTAGTTATTGTCGTTTTGATACACCCGAAAAATCTTTTTGAGACACAACAAGTGCAACGTGTGGACGTTATGTGCAACAGAATAAGAAGAGCGAAATAAATGACTGAACTTATATAAAAGGACAAAACATAGCACATAATTAATGTTGAAGTGCATGCTAAACATGACATTACTGAAATATGAACTTAGTGCTAAGGAAAAGCTGTATAGAATACAAGACTGAATCAGATTTAAGGCAGAATTCAGTACAGACATACTGTAGTAAAGTTTGGAATTAAAAAAAAAAAAAAAAGCCCTTATTTTGAGTTTACAAAGCCGATAAAGAAGAATGACTGCTCGACACATCATGGCTTATAAAGAAAAAAAAATGCCACTCTAATGTTTGTTGTCGGAAAATATACAGTATATGCGTAATGTAGCGTCCATCCCAGCCCAGTGATTTTAACTGCTATTCAGTGCAAATGGACACGTCTCACTCATAACCAAAGTTTAGCTTGTAGTCCGACAAATGGTAGTCCTTCTGTGACATAAAAAAAAAAAGTAACATTTTCCTCCTTTTTTCTTCCTCCTTTGTTGTTTTTTTTTTGGAATGTTTTCTCCTTCGTCCGTCCACCAGGTGACAATAAACAAGTTACCGTAGGTTTGACTGCTGTCATAGCCAGGCCTTGTCCATGCTGGAGTAACAGTGATCTGCACCGGTGTGTGCAATGCTCAGTCCGTCAGAGTCCACGCAGTCAAACACGATGCTTTCCACGTCAACCTCCACGTCCTCTGCAACAGATCACATCCATTAGCAGAAGGAAATATGAGAAAATTCACATCTGGCATAGGACTTACAAACTAGGGCTGGGTCATAAAAATGAAAAAAAACAAATTAATGTTCAATGCAGGTAACTGTGTAACAATATTATTAATTACGGCAGATACGCAAGACTTCACCGAGGTGTAAATAACTAATTTCCTCAAATGATGAGAGAGCATCACAAGTTAGCAAGAAAAATGTGTCAACTACAAATCAGGACACATGGAGAGCTGTTAGGATGAAGTTTTCTTACAGCCTTCACAGCGACTTAACATATAAAAAGACATATAATCTTTTTTTCTCACTGTCTGACATTAAATGTGACTACGTTTTTCCTGTTTCAGGTCAGTTAGAATTACCAAAATTATTTCTATTTGCTAAACGCCAGAATAATGAGAGAAAATATTTTTGATTTTTTTTTCTTGCTTTCTTCAAAGTCAGAACTTTACATACATTTCCTTAGTATTTGGTAGCTTTGCCTTTAAACTGTATGACATGGATCAAACGTTTTAGGTTTCCTTCCACTAGCTTCTCACAATAGTTTGATATAATTCTGGTCCGTTCCTCCTGGCAGAACTGGTGGAACTGAGTCAGGTTTGTAACACACCTTTTAAGCTCTGCCCTCAAATTTTCTACAGGATTGACATCAGGGCTTTGTGATGGCCACTTCAGAACACTGACTTTGTTGTCCTGAAGCCACTTTGTAACTAATTTAGTGGTCTGCACCCAAGCTTTTACTTCCTGGCTGATGTCTTGAGTTGTTGCTTTGATATTTCCACAGAATGTTCTTCCCTCATGATGCCATCTATTTTGTGAAGTGCATCAGTCCCTCCTGCAGCTAAACACCCCCACAACATGATGCTGCCACCCCCGTGCTTCACAGTTGGGATGCTATTCTCAGGCTTGCAAGCTTCCCCCTTTTTCCTCCAAATGAAACAATGTTTTATGTTGCTATGTAGTAATGTCTTCTTCCTCTCTGAGCAGCCTTTCAGTCCATGTCGGTACAGGACTGGTTCCACTGTGGATAATGACTCTCTTAGCAGCTTCAACAGCATCTTCACAAAGTCTTTTGCTTTTGTTCTGGGGTTGTTACGCACATTACGAAAAAATTCTCTCTCTCATTATCATGGCATTTAGCAAATAGAAATAATTTTGTTAATCCTCACTGACAGGAAAGGTTTAGTTACATTTCATGTCAGACAGTGAGAAAAAAAAGGTTTTGTGTCTTTTTATACAGCATATGTAAACTTCTGGTTCCAACTGTACGTCTTCTTTACTTATTTCAGGATTCATTTCATATCCAATTATTTACTTCACAGGAATATTTACTTATTTATGGATTTATATTGTTTCACTGATGTTCTGCCATTGCTCTTTTTAAGTTTGCACTGTTTAAGGATATTGTAATGTTTTATAAAACACTTTGTAAGGTGCTATAAAAATTAAGTTAATTATTGTTATTATTTTAACACTGGATATAACAGCATTCCTTAGCACACATTATAGCCAATCCAGTTGTTTTTTAATGGCTGAAATAGTTTTAAAGTACCAATTTAACTCAGATTGTACTGTTTTCCACTCTGCAAAACGTGATTGCAAGCCAATGTAATATAGCAAACATCCTATTTGTGAATCTATAACTGCATAAACCATAAAATCCCCACAAAAAGAGACAATAATAAATCAGCTCAAATAAAAGAAATGCTCTAAATTTATGATGGGAAAATATAGATACCATCCAGATAAACATTTTAAAATTTCAAATCAGATAAAGAAGCAGCTTTAACTGATCAAAAATATAACAAAACAGATGCACACTTAAAAATATCACAATGGACTGAGTTGGATAAAAGACCCAGAAATGTTAACTAACAGAACCAGAACCAACAAAATAGCAACTCACACACTAAAGCACTGCTGAGTAAAAGAACATACTTGAGGAAACACTGCTAGTAAATTGAAAGTATATAAAATAAAAGAACAAACACAGAGACGTAACCCACCTCTGTCGGAGTCCGACCTCTCTGAGGACATGGTGGACCCCTGGCTGTCGTTCCTCGACCTCTCGCCTCCTCTCTGCAGCTGCTCCAGCCGGACCCTCAGCTCCCTCTGCTCCCAGCGCAGGCGTCCCTTCACCTGCTCTGCACGCTCGTCCTGCTCCTGCAGCTTCTGAAATGAATCGACAGAGAGGCAAAATCAAAGTGAGCAGCAGCAGCAGCAGCAGCAGACCAAAGCTCAGACACAGCAGAGACCGAAGGCTGAGAGAAGCAAAAAATCACAGGGCTCTGGAGTCTGGTAAAGGCTGTGTTCTTTTTGCTCTGAGCTTGCAGGATTTTGAGGTGGTACCTTTATGTGGAGCTGGGCTCGTCTCAGCAGGTTGAGCGTGGTGTTCCTCATGGAGTCTGACGACAGGGGAACCTGCTTCTTGAGCTGCTCCAGGCAGTGCTTCAGCTGGGCTCGTCTAGGAAACACAAAAAATATGCAACAACTTTAGAAAACTGAAAAACAGCCATTTGCTTTTCATTTTTGCTGATTTTGCAGGAAAATAAGAATCACCTGTTTTTTTCCAGCTCATTGTGAACTGACCTGCAGTTACAGAAAAAGATAATTCAGTTAGAGTTGTATGTGACAATTCTTTGCAGTGACTGTGTGAGTGTTCGGTGTTCAAGTCTAGCAGGGTGCTCTGTCAAAACTGAAACTCAGACTGACAGCCACACCCTCCTGTCAGTTGCCTGTTATGTAAAAATACTCACCTATTGCCACCACCAGATATCTTCTTGTTCTTCTGTTTGCTTCTCTTATCCAACTGACCTGGGCTGAGAGGCAGGACCGAAGCATATCCATGTTCTGCCTCTGTGCAGGAAACACACAGCAGACAAAAGAGTGAAGGGCTGTGCACAAAGGCAGCAGTTGGTAAAGACAAAGTTCTCTAATTGTGCAAAGTGTGAATCCCTGTGCTGTAAATGCATCGCTGTGTGAATCCCTAAGCTGTGAGATGAGATCAGCGTTGCAGTGAAAAGACTGGGACACAAGCTGTCCTGCTGTCATCAGCTGGACGTTTTGTTTTTTGGTTTTGGCGCCATCAAGCTACCGGCTCTCCGCTATTATGAAACCGGTTTTGCAGCCTCTCGGGTAAAAACAGCCAACACCGTGTCTGTGGTGCTCGATCGCTGAATGAAACTTGCAGTATTTGTGTTTGTTTGCAGCCTCACTTTCCTTCACTGTTAGATCCGCTCAGCACCGCCCGGATTCATTTTTTAAACGAGCCCAGATTGGCGCCTTTGAGTACAATGATGCGACCGATATGTAGGTCACTGAGTCAAATGGCACAGATCGCCTAAAATAACCGTCTACCGAGAATCTCGATGGGATGTCAAACCGCGGCACAGTCCCGTGTCTGCGCATTATCCTCTGCATGCACAGTAATCGTGGCTTTCTGGTGCATTTTGTTGTTTCAACAATAACCAACCTACCAACTCCCCTCCAGGCTGACAGTTGTCATTAAACACTCACCTCTTTCTCTTCTCTCCAGAAACTCTGCAGCCCGCAGCAGCACCTGAATGTTGCAAACGTTTCCTTCCATTGTGATTAATTTTTGGTTAAAATGAAACGACCGCAGATTAAAAAGGGGGAAAAGCTACTGTGGTAGAAGCGTCGGCAGCCAGAAGTGGATGGAGCTGAGTCTGTGCTACGTCCTCAATCCACAGACCTCAACACCGGTGCTGCATTCAAGGGCCCAGTGGAAGCTCGGAAATCCCAGTTCACTTCATGGAAATTACTTTTTAACAGGCGTAGTGCCAAAAAAAAATACATAGATAAATACATTTTCCTATTAAATTCATAAATATTGCTTTGAACTAAATTCTGAAATAAATAAGGGAGGCATATTGAAGAAATACAAGTTGTCGAACATAAACCTATTTATTGAATCAATACATTTATTTGTATATCTCTTGCCTCATTTACTTATTTTAGGATTCATTCAATTTGTTTCACAGGAATATATTTATTCATATTATTTCCCTGATGCTCTGTAATTGTCCTTTGAAAAGTTGCACCGATGTTTTTTTGTTCTAATATTTTGTCTAATGTTTTGTGTATTTTGATTTTATTTTTTTATTTTTTTTTACAACACTCTGTATCTCCAGCTTTGAAAGGTTCTATGGACATATTATTATTGCTATTATTATTATTATTATTGTCATTATTATTATTATTATTATTATTATTATTATTATTATTATTATTATTATTATTATATTTTATCATTATTATTACATTTTTTTTGTTACATGGAATAAAACAGCATTCCATCGCATACATTGCCGTCAATCATGTTACATCATGGTACATCATGTTAATTACATTTATGCATCTGTTGGGTGGTTAAAAAAAGAAATAAATCATTTATTCTTCCTACAATTTAGACAGTTCAACTACCTCACAGAACCTACTATTTTGTGTAAAAAAAAATGCATATACTATATTAAAGGCACGTTAAGAAATGACTACTACTTCACTAATGTAAACACTGTTTCAAAAATGTTTGTTTTGCTTTCAGTCCAGTATTAACGCTCCAATTTTAATATTTCCAAAAGCAAGTGAAGGCGTCAGAGACAACGGAAACGTCATTGTAAAGCCTCAACCTCTCCCTCATGCACCCTAATTATTATTATTATTATTATTATTATTATTATTATTATGTGTTAATAGTAATATTAACACTGTACATGAGCTGGTAATTTTTACAAGGTTGTATTGTTACATATTGCATGTGTCATTGTTAACCTTAAATGTGGTAATTCTTACTCTTGCCATCCTCGACGTCTGAAAAACCTGCATCTTTACCTCAACCCAAGCCTTCACAACACCTAATTTTCTCTCTATATGTCTATCTATTCTCTCACATCATTAAATATGGGAAGCAGAATATGATAATATAATATATAATAATATGCTCAACAAATATGTCCAAACTCACTAGCAGTTGTTTGAGTAGCTGGTGTTAACGTGAGGACCAGTTCAAATCGTTTTTTCACATACCGGAGAAAGTGGGAGGGGAGGCCTGCCCTCACTGAATATGGCGGCGCGTGGCTTCACCGCCAGGATACGGTTACAGCTGTGTTCTCCGTATGGCAGTGAAGCCTCTTTGCCAGCAGTATCTTTAACCTTTGAACTCCTGAGTGTGCCAGTCCTCCGCCATATTGACTGTTGTCTTGACTGGAGGAGATAGAGAACATTTTGAGGTCCGAGAAGAAACGAAAGTGTGCTCTTAAAATCATCGAAACTGGTGCAAACTTGGCCAAAGCGTATTATAAACACCGTCGTGATGGCAAGGAAGAAAAGCAAGCAGCAGGGGATCGCCCAGAAGGAGCTTGTGCCTGGACAGCAGACCGTACCGAAGAGCCCAGTCTCTCCCGGCGATGCAGCTGGCGGTGGCGGCGGAGATGCTGGGCTGGATAGGCTGGCCGCCACCAGGGCGAATCAGGTAGCTAGCAGCAAGCCAATCGCTGCCTTTAAAACAGACTAGCTAGCCGCTGTGCTAGCACCACTCTGCTAATCTAAGCATCCTCCATTGTGCTTTTATTTCTTGTGGCGAAACCCTGCAGAGGTGAAGTTGTGTGCATCCGCTGGTTGGTGGGAAGCGATTGTAGTTTTAATGTAGAAGTCGTGAATGTAGAGCTTTACGTCGTTTGATGTGTAATTAAATAAATAATGAGCTCAACTTAGCGAGCAGAATCGTCCCCCCAACAGGCGGCTTTCAGGCAGTGAGGCTAGCGTTGCAGTCCATCTCTCCCACCGGACAGGTGACATTGTGCCTCGGACAGGTCGTCCCATTTCCAGCGTTTACAACTCTTCATCCGCCCAGCTAGCGTTAGCCAGCATGCTAGCCGGGCTATCATCTTCAGCTAGCGTGCTGCAAACGTGCTTGCTGCCTACACTTGATCGCATCCATAGGAACCACTCAGGCAGCAGCGGCTAACCTGCTACTAGCTAATCAGCTAGTTAGTTAGCTAGAAGGGATAACGGGGTAATAATTAGGGGGGCTAACTCTCAGACGTGGTTTGTATTATTCCACTGTGTCACATTACTGACATTTTCAGCCGCACTATACTCTGCTGTAGCAGAATAGCAGGAGCTGATGTCAAAAAGTTTGCGTGCAAGCTGTTAACTTGTCAGCTAATGATGTCTAGCTAAATCGGAGACAGTAACGGACAGTAACGTTGGCTGTCTAAGTTGAGGGTAACCACGACGCTGCACTTGACCTCTCAGCCACCACTTACAACCTGACTGACAGTTGCTTGGACGAATTGATTGCATTACATATCTGTCTGTTTTTGTCACAGCCCTGCACGAAATCTTACTCCTGTGAACGCTGCAGTGTTCCATTTTTATTTAAACTGTAGTGCAGATGTGTTCATTCATCCTTTTAAATAGACCTTTTTGAATTGCACATTGTTTTGCATCACTTTTGTATTAGATTTAGCAAAGTAAACCTTATAAACTGTTTATATGCACGCATGCAATGATTAGCTGTTGTTAGATGACACCTGGAAGTGGCCTGATGACTTTTGGATTACATTCATCAGATGTTTATGTTCCCTATTTCACGTGTCTCTGTTGTTATTATGCTATGTTGTTCCTTTGTGTATGCAGCATCTTTTGCATGTCTGAAGGGGAATTCATCCCCATTTGATCTTCCTCAAGTTTTTCCCTTGTGTTGTCTTGTTAAACTCTTTTTTTATTTCCACCTGGATCAGCTGTTGTAGGACAGAGGGTGTCATATGCGACATATTGCTGAGATTTTTAATGCAAATATGTGCTAATGAGCTCTGTGAATATAGCTTTGACTTGTATCAAAAATCACCTGTTTGATTGCCTGCCATACGCAGTTGGCATTTTTAATCACTGAAGGAAATATTCTAAGACAGTTAACCACTTAGACCCTCGCTTTCTATCGTGGTGCTAATTACCCAACAAAATTATGTGCTACAGATCCCAGTTTAAATGGTAATTACAGTCTCACGCTGAACCCCTTTATGCTCTCTCTCTTTCTACTTAGCCCATGCACACATGCTGCCTTCTGTGCCATCGTGAATTTAAGGACTGGGGAGCAAGCTCTGTGAACGGACTTCCTGGGGGCCATGGGACGAAGCTGGCCGACGCCGTGCCTGCGCTCTCCCAGGCCTTATTGCGGGAGGCGCCAGGGCGTAAGCTTGCTGACGCGGTGCCCTCGCTGTCTCAGTCCCTGCTGGGAGAGGTGCCTCTGTGGATCTGTCAGAGCTGCTGCAAGAGTGTGGAAGAGGAGGAGAGGCGGAGCACACAGGAGCAGCCAACACCGGTAAATAAAGAGGGACTGATTTGGGTCAGATGTCTGGATGCTTTTCACAACTTCTGTTTACTATTTAGTTGAACTATGTTTGCGTCGGCCGCTGAGACTCTGTCAGCTTTAGTCATCGTGTCGAGCGTTTCATTTGCATTACTAAATAAATCCGTCTCTATATATTCTGCTTTTTGCCAAGCAGAGTCATCCCTTACTTTTACTTTCTTAGTTGTTTTTACATAATTACTTTGCATGAATTTTGAAGACTTGCTGTATCATCACACTTAAAGTAGACTGCAGGCAAACATGGTGTTTAAGATGTTTTGTTGATATTTGGCTCAAATGTTAAAAATATTAAACAGACTGAAGAGGGTAGAATTGCTGAACAGTGCAGAGTGCCACATTTAAGATATATTAATGCATCTTTAAAATGTTTTCCCTCGTCGCGTAACACTCTAGTTTGGTGCCACGACTGCCAGAATGTAAGCCTGTGCAGACAGCCGGATGATTAACTAATTGGGTGCTGGGTTTTTTTGCTTTTTTTTTTCCCCTCTTGAAATTCAGGTGCCATTGTCACACTCTTCCTCCTGTAAGTCTCAGAGCTGTGGGAACGGTTACCCGGAGCAAAGTACTGTGGATTGGGACCCGAGTTCCTTCCTGTCAGCCCACAAACTGTCAGGTCTCTGGAACTCGGCCCACACCAACGGAGGGGAACACTGCAACCACAACACTTCGTCGCACTCACAACAAGGTCTGTCAACACGCTGTAAAACCAGATATTTTAAATGACTCTGACGGTAATCGCTGAAAACATCACAAACCTAAATTTTACGCTGTGTTGCGAGTTTCAGTGTTCTTTAATAGACACAGCATTTTTGTTAGAATCAGCGCTTGTTAGCTTTCTTATTAGCAATAAATGTACGAACAAGTTAGAACCAATGGTGCCTTTCTTTCTGAGCTCAGTAATATGGAAGGTGGAATAAAGTTTTGAAGAAACTATTTTTAAGAAATTTCAATGATGATCCCCATTTATATCGTATTAACAAGAAAAGTAAGTGACAGACAACCAAGCACACCCACAGTCACACCTACGGACAATTTAGACTCACCAGTTAACCTCAGCATGTTTTTAGACCTTGTGGGAGGAAGCCGGAGAACCCGGAGAGAACCCACGCTGCACAGGGAGAACATGCAAACTCCACACAGAAAGATCCCGGGTGTCCTCACCGGGACCCGAACCAGTGACCCTCTTGCTGCGAGGCAGCGGTGCTAACCACCGATCCACCTTGCAGCCCATCATTTCAATCAATTACACCAAATTATTCAGAGCCACAGGAAACTACAGAACTAAGCATTTATTACATGCATTAAACTCACTTAATATATTCATAGGTGTGATGCAGAGTGAGAGCATGCATTGTAATTCTTGAACTGTTTTTTTATTAATGCTTTTTTTCCAGATAGAATTGTAGATTTGTGTTTTTTGTTGTACCTGTTTACCCTCACAACTGCACAGCACAAATAATCTTACTGCAGTGTTAAAGATGTAAAAGAACAACTAACAATGGACAAGCAGTTTAATGCTGTGAACTGGACTGTACCATGTGAGTAACAAATGTGCCATGTGTGATGTAAACATAGAAGTTACTGTATTTGGAGAACAAAAGACTTTTTTTTTTCCTCCCCTCAACTCTCTTTTGCTTTCTCGAATTAACAGTTACCCACACACTTAATATAAATAAGGTGCGAAAAGTAGTGGAGATGAATCTCAGCTCTGCAGTGTACAAGCTCTGTCAGGCAGAGCCAAATATATTTATGTAAGGACAACTAACATGCAAAATCACAGGACGCAGCACAAGTGTCGCAGCTTCTATACACTCCAGAAAAGATAAAAAACATCACTCATGTCCTTCTCAACATAGGATCATGGTCACATTTGGCTAAATTAGATATATATTACGGTTGATAAATGAAAACAGAAGCTAATTTCATGACTTTCTTTCGAATTTGAAGAACTTGGGATGTATCAGCACCACGTTTTTCTACTCCTACAACATTACAGATAAGACAAACAGAAAATTGTTTAAAGTCTGCCTCCGTAATCTGTTGTGTAGTAGTACAGTAACACAAAGTAAGTCAGGCGCACCACGTAGCTCGAACATTTTCTAACCATAACAACTTACGGATGTGCCATTAGAGAAGAAATGAATGTGAAAGTGAGACATGTTTGTCTTCTACCTCCAGAAGGCAGGTGTTTACCGATGTGAAGCGAAGCAGACATCTATGATGACTCTGCCTTTGTCTGTTTTCTCCCCGTTTCTTGGCTCTCAGCAAACCACATTGCCGAGTTTACCCGACGCCTAGCTCAGGTTTTGTTTTTAGTTTTGCAAATATTCAAAATGGGTCACGGTGCCAAATTGTATTTAAACAAGCGTAAGTGAAAGTAGTCAAGTGATGCATGTGTGCACTGTGAAGGCGTTCATGCCCATCTTCAGGAGGCAAAGTCACATTTAAAGTGGCATGTTTTGCTTAATTTAATTTACCAAGACAAAAAAAGCAAAAACAAAAAAAGGGGCAGGTGATTATGCTTGAAGTGACATCAAACAAATGTTGGTCTTCAGGTGGACGGAACAGAGCATCTTGGGGTACTTCATTACCACAGCAAATGTTTAAGTGGGCATTAAGTTACAGTGACTTGCATCAACTTCTGCTGACAAGAGTGTGTGATAGCCGGTAAGAGGTACAGTTACTTTTGCCCAACAGGAAACAGCATGGTAAATAATTCAAGTGTTGTAGTTCTCCCTCATTGTCTTTATTTTAATTAGCAGAAATGGATTTTATCCTTCACAGTCAATAAATACAATCCAATGCTGCTGTTTTTCTTATAACAGTAATAAACTAGAAAGCCACTTGGAGCGTGCATCCTGCAGTTTTACCCAAAATGTTTGCATCCATACCAACATTTTATTGGCTTATCCTGTATCCTTGCTTGATCTCTCTATTAAGTTTCATAAGCTTCAGCTCTGTAGTTTTTGCGTAATCTTCAAGGCAAACAAGAGAAACAAATGGCACTGATTACATACTCATGCCTTGGCAGAGGAAAGATCACTGTCCGTGAGCAGGACACGCCTAAACATGCCTCCAAAAAAAACTTTCACAAAACATAGACAATCCAAAAAGTGAGTGTGTAGTAACCAAAGTCTCAGCATCTGGAAATTGTTTTAGTAAAGAGCATTGATCGAAAGCTGTCAAACTCCCCGAGACAAGGGACTTATTTTGTGATATGGACTCAAAAAATAATAATGCTGCAAGCAGCATTGGTCGGGTCCTCGCTCTGTATTGCAACCTCATGCCCGTCTGACCTCCATTTTGACAATTTATTCCCCTTCACTAGACTTTGACCTACTAATAGGCAATTTTCATAGTGTTGCTATCTGCTACCATTTTAGAGATATGTAGCTTTAAGTTCATAGGATGATTTTGTCCTTTTTTTGTTTTGAAAAGCCAATTGTGGACTTCCTGTTTAAGATAGGTTAGGGGTGTCAGCACGAGATTTATGGGAGATATTGAGACAAACGTTTTGGTGTTAGTTTGATCTCTCTATGACATTCCTACTGGCTGCTCGGGCCGTTTTAGTGTGTTTTTTGTGTGCTTAGGGGGCACTAGAGAGCCCATTTTGGACTGCTGGGGGTTATTTTTTTTCGTTTTATCAAATTTTGGGGCGTGTCAGAGGTGCGTGCCAATTTTGGTGAGTTTTTGAGCGTGTTTAGGGGTCTAATTAAGGTTTTCACGTTCGCTCGGCAAATAATAATAAGAAAAAGAAACGATACAGGAACAATAGGGGCAAGGACCCCTTCTTGCTTCAGCTAGAAAGGGTCCTTTCCCTCAGGGTGAGGACCCTAAAAATCTGTAACTATAACATTTTAACCATTAGGTGCCCACAAATACAACAGTAACTACAGTTAGTAGGACAGTCAGTCAACGAAAGTTAAGACTGCCATCTAAAGAAGTCGTTCCCTTTCTTGTTGCAATTGTCATGTTGCTTTAAATCCGCAGTACATTCCTTTTTAAAAGTGTTTTTCATCTGCAGGTGTAACAGCAGGATCAGTCTGTCATGAGAAAAGAGGACTTCATGAAGCGCCTGGGAAATCTGCTAAAACGTCAGGGACCAAAGTGTGTCCCTACAGTCACCCGTCATCCCAGAATTCCAGTGGATCTTCTGCTGGGAACCCTCTGTCTACCTCAGCAGACCTTTGTAAGACCACTCCCAAGCACTTCAAGACCGTGTGCCGTCGACCAACGCCGCCAGGTAATTATTTATTTTCATCTCTTCAGACTCAGTAGTATTGTGTGATGTGACAATAAATCTGAATGCTTCATTTTTCTTCTTTAAAATCTATATAAGGAATAAGAAATCAATATGTATCTGACACATTTTAATGAACACTATCGAGTTGTGTTCAACCTGATTTTCAGTTATTTTAATGTATAATTTTTGTAAAAGTGTCCTTTTACTTGAGCACAAACGTCCCAAAATAAATAAGAAACCAGCAAAACCTTTGTTAATCTGTAGATAAATGGATCCTTTTAGCAAACAGTTAAGACATTAGTAATAATTATATTAGCAGTAATTGGACTTTGGAACAACAGTAATCTGTACAGACACAAAGAATAAAAACTGTCATGATTCAAACTGCTGAACTGAATATGTGGTGATGCACTTTGTCAAGAAATGATTCAGTGTGTGACCTATGAGTGACTTGTATTGATGTTTTCCATTGTCCAGGTGAAGCCTTCCATCCCAGTGACCACCATCAACACACAGACTTGTCGGTACCCCCTAACAGTCCCACCGGCCTGTCGTCCCAGCATTCCTCTCTCCTCCCTCCAAAGCCGAACTCTGGGCAGCATGGCCATGTAACCTCCTCCTGTGGCACTGGTGTGGCCGCCCACGCTCCCTTCTCCCCGCTGGTACCAAACCTCCACGGCCCTACAGCCAAACTCAATTCTCCCAGTCCAGATAGCCCAACATCTGTCCACAAGCCCAGTCCATGCAAAAACTCCCACATTCCCGCTGTGAACACACAACACAGCAAACTGGGCACATCTATAATGGGCTGTAACCACTCGTGTAATGGACACAGTCCGGGAACAGTGGCCAACTCCAATGTAGGCCACTTAACAGCTGGGGCCTGCAGGTTAGTGTTGACGTCTCAACTTTGCTTTTTGAAAATGTGAAACTGAGAAATCACTTCTATGGCAAATACAAATTGTAATACCAATGCATTCTGAGAGGTTCATATCAATTCTTTCTTTTTTTGCAGGGATCAAGCGTGTAAGGGGCACAAAGTGACGAATGGGACATTGTGCCACCCTTCGTCTGAGCTGGAGGAGGGAGAGGATGAGGACAGCAGCTCTGAGAGGAGCTCCTGTGCCTCCTCTTCCACCAACCAGAAGGATGGGAAGTACTGCGATTGCTGCTACTGCGAGTTCTTTGGACACAATGCGGTACTTTGAAACTTTTTGTTGTCGAGTCTTTTGAAGTAGAAGTGCCATTTCCTATTACACACTTGTAAATCATTTTCTAAAAGCTGCTGTGGTGAAAAGATCCCAATATTGCTGTATTTTATTTGGTCACAGCCTCCAGCTGCACCGACTAGCCGAAACTACGCTGAGATCCGAGAGAAACTTCGCTCGCGCCTGACCCGGCGTAAAGAAGAGCTGCCTCAGCGTCAGGATTCAGAACTGACAGTGGCCGGTGCCATTGACAACCGGGACGTGGACGAGCTGCTAGACTTCATAAACAGTTCTGAGCCCAAACCTGTCAACAGTGCCAAGGCTGCCAAAAGGGCTCGACACAAACAGAAGAAGAAGGTGTGGTAACTGTATAAAGCATGTGTGTGTGTTGTTTCCGTTTGTTTTGTCTTTTGTTTGTTTGTTTTTATATTTATTACACAATGCATTAGGTCTTGGAGATTTTGTTTAATATTTTATGGAGAAACACGAGTATAGTTTTGTCAACACCCTTCTTAGTTTTGCATTTTTCACTTTACTAAAGAAGTTGTCATTAGCTAAAGCTCGACGTTGCGAGCAGCTCAACAATAACTAAACATGGTGGTCAAGTTCAGTCAAAAGCAGCAGCAGGAGGAAATCAGATTAGATGGATTAGATGCAAGCATCGATTTCTGTGAATCCCTCGTGGGTTGGGAGGCATTTTGAATTCTGTGTGGGAGGACTGGTAGACTCTGTCCCAAATAACAACAGCATTATAAGTGGTAAAACAAAAATGTAAATTTATTGAATGCCTGTTACTAAGAAATGCCTGTTATACAAGGTTTGATTTTTATGTTTTTAGGAGTACAAGTTAAAATCAAGAACTAAACTTTTGGTACTTTTTGATACTCAGGGCTACAGACATGTTTTGGTCACTATCTAAAATGTTTTCACAATATAGAACAAAACTTTATATATAGTTTAATGTATAGAATTACAGATTTAATATCTAAAAAAATCTTTTTATTTATCTTTTTTGTGTGTCACCTATTTTGCTTTCATATCTGTACCATGTCTGTTGTAGGAAAAAGCTCAACAGGGCACCTTGGGCGCTGCAGGCAGTGACCCCCACTCCAGCTCATCTGAGCCTGTGGACGAGCCCATCCAAGACGGTTCAGAAGCCAGTCGGTTGCTGGACTGGCCTCAGCTGGAACTCGAACGCGTGAACAGTTTTCTCACAAGTCGGCTAGAAGAGATTAAAAACACCATCAAAGACTCAATCCGGGCCTCATTTAGCATGTACGACCTCAATCTGGATGTCAATGACTTCCCAAAGAAGGCAGCCACGTTGGAGGGAAATCATTTACTGTCCCATCTCAACGGTTCCTCTGACTTGCAGCAGATAGACCTTGACCTCTCTCCTCTTTCACTGGGAACCTTTAAAAGCCACCTGGACCTGGTTAACGGATGGGAAGATACGACCGTCGTCTCGTCTCCAAACACCACCACCACTGCGTCAGCAGTAAGTGCTGCTTCAAAGGACATCCAGCGGTTGCACACTACCCCCAGTCTCTCAAAGCTTATAAGAGTTCGTTCCCCAGAAAGATGCACTTCCGCCGGGTCTGACCATTTGCCACAGGTGCCAGCCCAAGCAACGGCTAAATCGAAAGAGGACACCCCCGATCCCAAGAACGCGACAGTCGGGAACGGCGGTGCAAAGTCAAAAAAGAATAAAAAGCAGCAGCAAAAACAGGAGCAGTCTGTGTCGGAGCAGAATTCCAACAAAACAACCAAAGCTGCCTCTGGGAATGAAGCACAGAAAGTCAGCGAGCCTAAAGAAATGGCAGCTAACGGCTCAAAGTCTGGAAACAAACCCCCTCAGCACTCTGTGGACAGCCAGCGAAATGGGCCTAAGAAAGCTGAGGAGAGCAGATCATCCAAACATGCAACAAATGGAGCAAATGGTGGCCCCTTAAGTGCACAAAGGGGGAAAGGTGACTGTGACACACGAGGAGGTCGGTCGGAGCAGGAATCAGAAAGCAAAGCTCACCCCACCATTCCAGCAAACGGGCAGCAACAGCAGCAATCCAAGGGGAAAAACAAGAAGAACAAGAACAAGGGTGAAAAATCCAGCAGTGCTCTTGGTATGAGAGAAAATCTGTATTTACAGCACTCATTAGCACTCACACTCCATACTTATTATTTCTACATTTTTGATCGGTTCATCTGCATTCTAATCTTTATTTTCATTCTTTAGATGATGTATTTCTCCCTAAAGACGTGGATCCAACAGAAATGGATGAGATTGATCGGGAAGTGGAATACTTCAAAAGGTAAGCTCAACACTGCAGTGTTTTCAACACACTTTGTGCCGAACTGTTAGATTTCCATTAACTGCTTCACTGAAACTGGCATCTGTTTACTCTCCTTTTTTCCTTTTGTCTGTCTCTGTTCCCTGTAGGTTTTGCCTCGATTCTGCGAAACAAACGCGCCAGAAGGTAGCAGTGAATTGGTCCAACTTCAGCCTCAAAAAGGTTCCTTCCAATGCAGCTCAATAACTTGGACGAGTGCCAGAGAAAAAAACTTCACACCACAAACTCTTTCAGTAGAGCCCCATTTGGCCTGAGGCCTTCTCTCATTCCCAGTTTTCTTCTCTTCCTTACTAAGCCAAGGGACCCTGGTTCAAAACATACTCTCCATTCAGAAGACTGAAACATAACTTGTGGCTAACAAGCCAGGGATCATTCTCAAGGCCAACTCTACCCTTTGCTATTATTGCAATGTTCACTAAATGAGAGATGCAAAAATGGAAAACAGTCTGTTGAATCAACTGCAGCCATGTGCTTACGTATGTAGTATGTAAACAATTACCTTACATGAAATAAATGTTTTTATCACAAATCTGAGACATTTAACGTTGAATTCCAATCAATTCAATTTGGTGCTCATCATCTCTTATATTCTTTCTGACCCACCAAACCGGTCTCACTAGACGCTGCTGAGACTTCCACTGTATGCACTGAACGAGCACAAGACAATATTTTGACCTATTTAAAGAAAAAACATGCGAGTCCTCTTCTGCAGGGAGCAATGGTGACAACGATTACATTGATTTTACTCCCAAGTGGCCCGTAGTGCAGCTGGTGGTGGTTCATGGTTTTGAATTGGAATATTTGTCTCAAATTCCATGGTGATCAACAAATTATTTAGGAATCTATGAGTTTTTTTTAAAAAAGAAAAGGAAAGAAGAAATGGCTTCACCTATCTGCTGTATGTTGTGGACTTATATTTTTAAAAAAACAAAACGTGAATGTTTGACAGTACATTATACGCTGATAACACACAGTAATAGAGCACTTTTCCCCACAGGATGCATCTTAAAAAACAATCAAGTATCCCCTGCAAAGATGTCCCCATGCATGATGTGTGGGTCAGAAAATCTAAACACTGTCCCCTTACTATATTGGGAAATGTGTCTGTTTCTTCAGTGTCGAACCTCCTTTGGTGTTAGTCTTGAGCAATTATCTCTTATAGTGATACCCAGTATACACTCTTGCCATCTGTAGAAGAAAGTCCTTTACCACAATTTTCTCACTCTTTAGCTCTTATTTTAATCCGTACGTCCCAGCAGTGACAGTTACACCAGTGTGCAATGTTCATTTTGTCGTTGGAACGATGACACCTTGTTTTGACGCAGTTACTTTCAATGCTTGTACATACTGAGTGAATATTTTTGGCCCTTTTGAGCCTTTGTCATGCGTTTCTGAGGGTTGCGTGTGTGTGTGTGAGGTACATTTTCAACCATACTACTCCTTTTCCCTGTACTGTGACCTTGGTGGCACCCCCCACCTCAGCTAACTTATCTGAAGCCTAAGTCTTGATTGTCTTTTGATGACAAATATCCCAGAAGAGACCTTTGGGACACGGGCCTTGGGTTTTTTACACCAGTATCAATGTTTTAGCTGATGGCTTTCATTGAAATGGATGATTTTTTTTCCTGAATCTGTGCTGAGATTTTGTTTTAATATAACATCTCTGATGCTTTCCAGGTTATATTCAGTTAGAGAAGATTATCTTAATGTTTCGAATGTAGATTTATACTATACCAATAATAGCCAAGTGTATGTTGGCTTGTTTCTTTTTTTTAATTCACTTTTGATACTGTGAAAAAATCTTTCGTTCGGAAAGATTAAAAACAATACAGTTTTGACAAAAAATAAGGTGTGGTGTTTTTTATCTTTTTAGTTTGGTATTTAAGATACTGCATCTGCACAACCCACAACGTCAGATTTTGAAATGTTTGGACGCAGCGGCTCGATGAGGTTTGACCCTTCCGGCGTTCCGTACACGACCACAGCTTCCTCTGGAAAGTAAATATGCGGCGTGTTTAACTCGTTTAATTGTGTGGCAAGTGTTTGGTGAAGAACTCGTTGATAACGTACACAGAGGTTTAGTGTACTCACAGATAAAATGGAGATAGAAAATCGGCTCAAAAAGGTAAGTTTAGCACATGTTATCGTTCCTGCTATAGGCTAGCTATTGCTAGCTAACGTTAGCTAGCTGCTAAAGCTTCAGCTAGTGTCCATCCAGCTTACAAGGTCTAATGTATTACATGTTTAAAAGCACGGGCCGATGGACAACCTTGAAACAAAGTATTTGAATAAAAGGGAGGTTCAGTTTAATACTGTATATAAGTGTGAAAGGTGTTTGGTAAACCTTTAGGATTACCGTTAGCCATTTTGCAGTGCTACAGCATCAATGCTAAATACGCGATTGTGACGTTTATAGAAACACAAGTTATTACACATCTGAATATCATGGCCAGCTTTTGTTTTAGAGTCAATAGAGTCGCATAAGAGTTCAGGAATGAGTTTGCAGTTCATGACTAATGTGCTTATGTGAAGGCAAAAATCTGGAAAGGGCACGTTTGCTTTTCAGTTGTCTGTAATGTCATTATGGAGCTAATGCTTTTTGTAATAAAGGTAAAGTTAATGGAGTCATTTAAAGCGACTGTTTACAGGGATCTTGTTTTTTTTAAAGAACAGACAGGCAGGAACAGGTATGGGCAAGAAAAGCTACTATTACCACCTGTAATAATGATTAAGCTAATAGTTAATTACAGGAGGTTTAAAAGTTAAGAGATATACCCATTTCCAAAACTGTGTTAAAAGCAAGCCTATAATGACAGCTAACCCATGTAAAGGTGCCATATAGTGCAGTCCTTTCAGCTCACTGAGACGTTTATAATTCAACAGCCTCTTACAGAAATGTTTATGACATAAACACATATGATGTTGTGATTAGCTAAAACTAGACCCCGAGTGATACTGGATTGTTTAGAGAGTAACAATTAGACCTGTATCTATGTACCGACCAATATTCTTCTTATATATATGTATCTATATATTTTTCTGTTGTCTACATGTTAATGTTTTGGAAATTCCCCTTACTTCAGGAAGTAGCAGCAACAACCTTCAGGCAGCAACTTACATGCTCACAATTTCAAGTTTTGCTGAAAGTTTGGGTTGTGCAATAAAGCAGCCCTGCTGTTTTTCAAGGGGATTCATTCATTTTAATTGCAGTGATCGACTCACTGCGTGCAAATGTTTCGCCAGAACACTGTCACTGACATTATTTTGAGTGAGTACTGTGGCAGCATCCTGTTCGTAGCGCTGCTCAAGACAGTTGCAATTGGTTTAAAGAAGCAGATGCAATCTTTTTCTCTCTATAGCAGAATGATTATTAGGTGCAGTCACATCATTCTACACAGAACGATGTCTGATTATGTGAGACTGCAGTTATAGTTGAAGGAGTTGAAAATGGAAATAATGAGGTCATTGGTTATTCATTTTTAAGCAATTTATTACATAAACCACTTAGCAGCTCAACATAAAATTACGGCTTTACTCATCACCACCATCTGCTCAGCTAGCACTCTGCTACATGTGCTGCAGACAGACCTGAAAGTACTGTAAGCAATGAAGTTGGAGCTGCTCTGCTGGACAAACTATGTGATGGACCCATTTCTAAATTAATATAAGCATCTTTTTCTGTTAAAACACACTTCACATAAGTGCATATCGGACAATGTACATGCCAATATCAGGCAGTTAATATCAGCTAAACCAATATATCAGTCGAGCTAAAAAGTGTTTTGTGTGAATCTGTAACATATACGTGTAAAATCTCAGTTTCCCTATAGTCGTTATTTATTTAATATATGATCTGCATGTAAACGCCTGAAAACCAATGCGATAGAATTTTCTTTTGTAGCAGCTCTGTTTTGCTGCATAGTATGCTGTGTGGTCAAATTTCCTTCAAAGATCTGGTTTTATCTGGAGGCCATTTTGGCTGAATGCTGAGCTCTAATCTCTCTATGGAGAGAAAACAAACAAAAGACACTCTGAGGAAGTAATACTACTGATCATGTGTTTGTACAGAGAGCCCATGGGGAGGATGAGAGGTCTGGCTCAGAAGGATCGGAGGATGACGATTATGTTCCTTATGTTCCGGTCAAGATCAGAAAGCAACAAATGGTAAGATATTGTGCATTGTTCTGTGTTACACTTTAGAAAGGGGAAGGCATCGAAAATCCAATCCATCTGTTTAGATGTGTGGCTATTACTGACCTTATTAGGCAGATCAGAAGTATTAGCTAAATGTGGGCAATTCAAATGAAAAAGCGTTTCTACACTAATGTCATACTACTTTTAAATCTAGGAACTAAATAGCACTGACAATGGACTAGAAATCTTTATCAGCAGAAACCCTAAGTGGAGATATCAGTGGAGAAAATATGTGATTGGTGCATCCCTAATTAGGTGTATACTGTGTAATAAGGTAAACCTATGATATTCTAAAGTATATTAGCATTACATCCTGTTAGCAAATATCAAAACTGAATACTTTCACCTCACAGCTACAGAAGATGTTACGGCTGCGAGGGAAGGCAGTGGATGAGGAGCAGAAGGACAGTGGGGAGGAGCAAAGGGATGAGGACGAGGGTCTTGGTCCACGCTCCAATGTTAGTCTCCTGGACCAGCATCAGCACCTCAAGGAAAAAGCCGAAGGTATCCAGTTCAAACTACACCTGCTTTAGTTACCTGTTTAATTCTGTTCACACTCCCTCACCTGCTTTATGTGAATGTGTCTGCAGCCCGTAAGGAGTCGGCCAAGGAGAAGCAGCTGAAGGAGGAAGAGAAGATTCTTGAGAGTGTGGCAGAGGGCAGAGGTAAAATAATAATGCTGCCACATTCTTGTGAAGCTACGTTCAAGTTACATAAACTGTGAGACATCAAAACAATTTGGCCAAAATGTTTAAATTTGCAAAACTAATTCTGCTGACTTTCTTTCAGCTCTGATGTCTGTGAAGGAAATGGCCAAAGGTATCATATATGATGATCCTATCAAAACAAGGTGAGCCCTTGATCAATGAATTTAGTAAAATTTTATATGTGGATCTGTTTTTTTAAAGTTAAGTTAACCTGAATTTTTTTTTTCTAGCTGGAAGGCACCACGCTACATCCTGAATATGCCAGACACCAGACATGAACGCGTCAGGAAGAAATTTCACATCCTGGTCGATGGAGATGGCATTCCTGCTCCAATCAAAAGCTTCAGGGAGATGAAGTTTCCACCAGGTGACGCTACACTCTGTCTCACACATGAAAAACACAGCTTTATCTTTTTTGTTTGAAGTCTGTAGTGGTAGCACGTGATTAACAACCGGCAACAAACCTCTGTTTGTCATGTTTGCAGCAATTCTGAAAGGCTTGAAAAAGAAGGGAATCGTGCACCCAACACCAATTCAAATTCAAGGAATCCCTACAGTGTAAGTATATGGGACTAGAATACAAACACTGTAATAAATAGGATGTAATTTGTTTTTCAGAAAAGTACATGTACACTGTTGATAAACTGACACCGTTTGTCTTTAGTCTGTCTGGTAGAGACATGATTGGCATCGCCTTCACTGGATCTGGAAAGACTTTGGTCTTCACTTTGCCCATCATCATGTTCTCCCTGGAGCAGGAGAAAAGGCTGCCTTTCTTTAAGAGAGAGGGACCATATGGACTTATCATCTGCCCTTCAGTAAGAAATACAAGAACAACCTGTTTCATTGACTGCACAGCTTGGATTGCATTACAAAGTGTGACTTTAGTGTCTGGCAACTATCCAGTCGCAAAGTCTGCTGTAGGTGTACGTGTTTTTGTAGGAAAATGTTTTACACTACAGTAATATGAACTCAATTTTTAAAATCTAACAACAAAAACCCAAACACCTGCATTGTACTGAGGTTAAGGGTGGCATCACAGAGGTGGGCACCTCAAAATCTGTGTAAATATAAGCAAATAATACCTGTATGAGTTGATAGAGTATAAAATGTCATCAAAAGTGACCTTTTAGGTTTTGACTTAATGTAACTCCCTGCAGAATTATCAAGTCACGTTTAAACCTGAGGAGGCTCATTAAAGACATGGAATTAAGTTCCTCACATATTGCCCTTCAGACATGAGGACGTTATGTGTGAGAAGTGTATTTTCATGACTCCCTAAGTCCATGTGATTTCATTACCACCTCTTTTATTCCAGCGAGAGTTGGCGAGGCAGACACATGGCATCATAGAGTATTACTGCAAGCTACTGGAGGAGGAAGGAGCTCCTCAGCTGCGCTCTGCCCTCTGCATTGGAGGCATGTCTGTCAAGGAGCAGATGGAGGTAGTAAAACAGTAAGTAAGATTGATGGGGTGAGTGACAAAACCTGGATTTCATCCAGAATTGTATATCAGTGTTAAGCAAAAACTGCCTGATTCAGCTACATCCTTCAGAAAGGAACAAAATGGGCAAAGATGAAAAAAGTTCCTGTCATAATGCTTTACACATATCATCCATAACAGTAAAAAATCTACATTATTACCAGAGGACCAAGGTAATAATACTGTATGTTACAAATCCCAAGGTAAGTCATGTTTTTGGTTTTCTTGGTTACAGTGGCGTCCACATGATGGTTGCCACCCCTGGAAGATTGATGGACTTGCTGCAGAAGAAGATGGTGAGTCTTGACATATGCCGCTACCTGGCCCTGGATGAAGCTGACAGGATGATTGACATGGGTTTTGAAGAGGACATCAGGACCATCTTCTCCTATTTCAAGGTCAGACCCTCATTTGTGGGATTAACTTTCAGTAATCAGAGCTCCAGACTACGACTGTTTTGGTCGCACATGCAACTATTTTTTGAGTGGGCGAGTTGAAATTTCAAGTGGTCGCATTGGTGTGAGTGCATGGTCATTAGGCTGTAATAGCATCTCTGCAACCGGTGCAGACAGCTACAGTGGTAACCACAGTGGTGGAAGTAGCACTTTTATAACCTGGGTAGACTGTGGTATTTATACTTTTAAATGTGGTCTACTCGTGAAATGCAGAGTGCACCTGCATTCGCTGTTTTCTATAAGCGGAACAGCGCGTGTAGATGCGCTTTGCATTGTAGAAAAAAAATCGCTCGGTTTTGTCTGGGACAAATCTGATGTTAGAACGCCCTGGTTTACTCTTTTCAAAGTATTTTTCGGTCGCACACCTTTCTGAGCACACCACAGATACCGAGCAGCATCTACAGCAGCCTGCAGTGTGGGGTGTTTGCTAAACTGTCACGTCTACCAATAAGCAGATGTTCATCAAGTGATGTGTTTTGCCTGTGACAAGGTGGGAGGTGCAATCAAATAAGAAAGTTGGTCACACCAGTGCTGCCAGTGAAAAAGTTAGTCTGGAACCCTGGTAATCATATCACCATTGCAGCAGTTTTTGCCATCCGTTGTTTTGTGGTTTACTGATACAGTCCTGACCAGACAAGTAGCTTTACAAAGGCCAAGCAGGACAATATAAGCCAACAATTCGAGTAGGATGCACACCGGATGATTTACAGTCTTTTGTTACACTCAAACAATTTAAATTCTTTCTCTATCTGGTTTGACATTTTCACACCTTACTGGACTTTTGTTGCCTTTTCTTTCGATTTTTCACTCTTAATGTTCCAGTGTATTTAGAGGCATTGGGTTTTTACAGTGTCCTAATGGTTTAACAAATACCAAATTTCCCCTCACTTGCGTAACTACCTATAGTTGGCCGAGAAATCTTTTAGCTGTGGCGCTCACTCAATTGATACTGGATTTTTTTCCCCAGACCAAAATCTTACAAAAACAATGACCTTAACTTTTTTTTGGTTTTCTTATCTAGGGACAAAGACAAACACTGCTTTTCAGTGCCACTATGCCCAAGAAGATCCAGAACTTTGCAAAGAGTGCCCTGGTCAAACCGGTCACTATTAATGTGGGCAGAGCTGGAGCTGCCAGCTTGGATGTCATCCAGGTATGTTATTTTTACTGAAAATGTGTTTTTTGTTGTTGTTGTTGTCTCAGTCAGAAGTATAAATTATATTCAAATCACAAAATTTCATGAACTAAATATTTTTGCATGTGTGCAGGAAGTGGAATACGTCAAAGAGGAGGCCAAGATGGTGTACCTTCTAGAGTGTCTCCAGAAAACACCACCTCCAGTCAGTACTTCCACATCTTATGACACTGACATACCGATAATACATTCAGTGAAACATGTCACACAAGTCATCCTTCATTTTGACAGGTGCTGATATTTGCTGAGAAGAAGGCTGATGTCGATGCCATCCATGAGTACCTGCTGCTGAAAGGAGTAGAGGCAGTGGCCATACATGGTGGAAAAGGTATGCACAGCTCTATTCTATTCAGTAAATGGTTAAAGCAGTCGGTATACAGTAATAGCACATGCAGAGGATTACTGTATTTGGAGAAATGTCCAATCCAGCTTCATGCTCAGCTCAGTACTTACTGTATATGTGCACAGCTTAACTCTTCAGATTTCTTGCAGTTGCTCATCATTACCACCAGATGCCATCCTGCTGGCAGATGTCACAGTTTCTGCCTCGTAGTTTCTGATGAATTTCTGTTGTGAGGCAGAAGCTTGTAATTTGAAGGAAAGTACAGTTTTGCTTCAGTGATATTTATTGATTGTTTTTTCAGATCAGGAGGAAAGAACAAAAGCCATAGAAGCATTCAAAGAAGGAAAGAAAGACGTCTTAGTTGCCACAGATGTCGCCTCCAAGGGTCTGGATTTCCCAGCTATTCAGCATGTGGTGAACTATGACATGCCTGAAGAGATAGAAAACTATGGTAAGAGGATGAATATATAATTGTTGTATGGCTTTGTCGTCTGAAAATCGTTGCATTATTTATTCATCAGTTGTTTTTAAGTCCTCAAGCTGATTTGTTCAAATGTTCTGTTTTCAGTCCATAGAATTGGAAGAACTGGACGATCAGGCAAGACTGGTATTGCCACAACGTTCATCAATAAAGGCTGTGGTAAGAAAACAGAAGTCAAGACAGAAATCTGAGTCAGTAGGGTCCGAGCACTAACAGTGCAAGGCATTGGGTGGAATGCTGGAATTCAGTGTTTAACTCAAGCAGACTGAAACTTTCAGAGGTTGTTTATGTTGCCCAGTGACAGCGTGGCTCATCACATATACTTTGACTAGCATAAGCTCAGACTCATTATTCAGTAGTCACACCTTGACCCAGGGTTTCATTTGTTGTCAGTAGTTATACAAATTCCGTTTCTTCTTGTGTGTTCTTCTTTTGATGATAACCCACGTGGTAATACTCCATCACATGCTATAAATCTGTTACAGTGTTTGTTGAACTTGACTTTGAAAAATTATGTTGCAAATTAAATTGCAACATTCGTCAGAAAAATAACATTTGGATATTTTCCCCAAATTGTCCAGCCTGAGTAGTTATAGTGTGTTGAGAGGCCTGTGGTATACCAAGATTGTTCCAACTTTCTTAAATGTCTTTAAAACGCCGCTACTGATGTGTCAGTTTGCAGCTTATTTAACTTATTCATGCTGACAATGGATGCATTAAATGGGTTAGGGGACCGAATGTTTGTGCTACATCCATAGACTTTATATAAAAGATGGACGTAGCCACAGTGACATTACCCGTTGATTTATGGGTTTTCATTTTGAAGCCTCGACTTTGGAATTTGACGTATTCAATCCCAGGTCGTCATGCCCGTAAACATACCCTGCTTTATCGTCTGTTTTACTCGAAAAGTGTCCATCATTTACAAAATGGACACCATGCTTTGTTAAAGAAGACCTGAAAATAGTGATTGAGACCATAAACTTGTGGGGAAAATGTTTACTGAGATAATAAATTAAGTGAGAAGTACCGTTTTTTTTTCTTCTCATACACTTTTGGACAATTAAACTTAGAGTCGCCCCCTGCTGGCTGTTAGAAGTAATGCTAGTTTTAAGCCACTTACTTTACTGTTCGTACCTAGAGGCTGCATCCATCTTTTATGTTGAGAATCTCTGGCTATTTCTTTGCAATGTACGAGTTAGCTTGACTGTAAAATAACTAAATGTATGTCTTTACCCACAGATGAGTCCGTATTGATGGATCTGAAAGCTCTGCTCGTTGAAGCCAAGCAGAAGGTTCCACCAGTCCTCCAGGTGCTCCAGACAGGAGACGAGACCATGCTGGACATCGGAGGTGAGCTATTTCATACTGATTCCTCTTTGTATCTGCTTTCAGGGCCTATGTTCTTGTCTCAGAACTACAGCGTTGACTGTTTCTAACACGTCTGATTCTTGTGTTTTCACAGGAGAGAGGGGCTGCACCTTCTGCGGTGGTCTTGGCCATCGTATTACAGACTGTCCCAAGTTGGAGGCCATGCAGACCAAGCAGGTCACCAACATCGGGCGCAAAGACTACCTGGCTCATAGCTCGATGGACTTCTAAGAACTTGCCATCAGAGGGGACGATTCTCACATGTTTAAAGGAACTAAGAAACTTTTCTGTGGAAACTGCACAGCTTAATGTCATGTCACTGCACTGAGGAAGTGTATTTTATCATCACCTCACAGTTTTCAGATCCGTTAGGTGAAATGATTTGTTGCTTACATCTTTTCCCCTAGTTTTTCTTCGTACTTGTTATGATGTCTTTGTAACATACATTTTTGAAGCTCTAGTTGTAAATAAAACCAGTATATTTGTTATAGCTTTGTGTTGTTATCCTCTGGAAAAGAAAAAAAAAAGGAAAGGTGTGGCATAATTTTTGTCTGGTGAGGAAGTTGCTAAACCAAGGGAAGTTTGACACAAGAAAACAGCAACACACAACTTGTGTGCCCTTTCTTTTGCAACAGTTAGGTTTCAGATCAGAGATATGTTGACTTTAGGTGCTGTTAGACACAGACAACACATTGAAGCTGCTGCTGACGTAATGGAAACAGTAACTGTGGAGGTATAGGAAGCCTAATTTTGACTTCTTCGGTATTTGCATGCCGACCACAGAGCAACAACTGCTCAACACTGCATTAGAGTAAAAGATTTTCAGATGGAGCTCACGAGAATGGATGTCATCTTCAAGGAGGGGATGTTGTACCTTCAGGCTGTCAAGTTTGGAAAAGTAAGTTTCATGCTCATTTAGCGGGTTGTTAAATTAATAACTTGTTTGGTTTTTAGGTACAGAAGCCGGTCAAAAATGTTCTTTTTGCTTCATGAAGTGCTTCGTTGTTTATCGGAGGTTAAAAGTCTCAAGCTGCAGTTCAGCTTGTATTCAGTCACTGCATGCGAAGACCGATAATAACTTTTACATTGTTCACTTTACACCCGCTTGTTTTGCAGCGCAGTTCAAATGTGTGATAACAAGACTGTCTGCAATCTAATGTACATGTTGAGCTGAATGATGCTTCTGAAACAGTATCCGCTAAACATTGAGTCAACATAATTCTAATTTTCTTTCTTCTTTCTTACAGAAAGTTTAAAATTCCTACAATTTAACCCACTTCACTATGTGTTTGTGATTAGTTATAGTTTTTTTCTTAAGGTTTGCAGGACTTATGAAGTTTTATTACTCAAGACATAGAGTAGACAAGACAGTGGCCTTATTGAATTGAACTGTATTATGTTTGTAAATGCTTCTCGATGCCTCGTCATACAGGAGAACTGACCTGAAAATGATTCATCTTTCACACCAGTTTATATCAGGGAGCAACCCAGAATAAGCCCCTAACCGTCACACATACATACATGAATGTACAGTTAAAAATCTGACAATGACTTGCCCATAATTGTAGTAACTAGGGTCGATCATACATGTGTTTGTCAGTGTCACTGGAACTGGGTGGCTATTTCAGGTTTACAGGTTGTGGTTTGCACAGAGCCTCTAAAGGGGCGTTTTTCTGCCACGTCATAAACTTCAAATTGAACTGTGGCTTGATGCAGGCCAGTTTTTCACGTAGTGGGAAGACAATCTGACCTCAAACGCTCTTTCACAGAAACATCTTTTGCATAAACTAACAGTATGATTCAGTTGCACAGAGGTCCATATTTACCCAGTGGACTATTTGTTGTCAGAGAACAAACTGATAATAGCTTCATTTGTATCGCATTTAAAAAAAGAGAGAAAAAAAGAGGGGGGTTACAAAGTGCTTTGACAGACAAAGATAGAATACCAACCTATTCAAATAAATAGTTTTGTAAATGGCGTGTATTATAAATAAAGATGAGCTTAATGCAAAATGTGAAATCAACAGTAAACAGGTGCGAACAAAAAAATAATTTAAAGACAGTTGGGAGATTTTAGCAACATGATGACTGCTTCAGTACGAGATTTTATTTATGTATGTGTGTGTGTGTATATATATATGTGTCTGTGTGTGTGTGTGTTACTTTATACTATTACATTTACCAACAATGACCACTACGACTCACACTGCTACTGTAAGAGATTGCAACAGAATTTCACTGTATTTTCATGTACGCTGATGATAAATTAGTCTTTAACCTTTAATATGATTTTCACATGAAAACAAATGACAAATTAACAAAGTACAAACAACACTAAAATTAGGACGACTTTGTTCCATATGGGGGATTTTACAGGCATGATTTCGGTCCTCTTGTCATTCTAGAGTCATGACTGTTGTTCTGAGTGATCAGCGTTATATTGTGATGAAACATTTCCGTCTTCGTGGGAGTGATCTCTTCCAAGACGACACTGCCCTCAACTATAGAGCTCAAGGGGTCACTGAATGGTTAGACGAATATGAAAATGATGCAGATCCTTAACAGTCACCAGATCTCAGTGCATTTGAACAACTCTGGCTGATTTCGTTCTGACATGTGAGACAGTGAAACACCACATGAGGGAGCATGTACATGATGGACATGTTTTTAATGGCTTCTAGCTCCTCTTAATACTCTTAATATTTCATCTTTATTTTTTATCTTAGAAATTGTCCTTACAAGGTGCCGTCCTCGTTGGCCTGTTTTAGTATCTGACGCTTTCTTTTTTTTTTTATTATTTTGGTTTACTGCTTGATTTCACAAGTTGCATCCTGTCTTGATGTTTGCACAAAATTGCTGCCTATCTGATAGCACGAACTGCACTTCTGTCAACTCACGCCAAAGCACACTGAAGATATTCCGGCACTTTATGTTGGCTTTTCCTTTAATTTGTCACCTGTGAGAGAAGTGGTTTGACCTTGGACGCTCATTAAATGGTGCAGGGCACAGTGATGCTTTGAATGTGCACTTTAAATTAAATTCACCATCTGAAATTGGCCCAGCCAGTGATGCAGTGTAGAGAACAGGCGGTGAGATATACAATGAAGTTCTCTCTTTCTTGAACTTTGAGTTACTTAGAAAATTCTGAGTCATAATTGTTCAATTCAGCACTGTCAACAGGATGTAGATGATTATTGAAAGCATAAATACAGAGCTGCATGTGAGTGACAACAGAAACAGGTTCTATACTCGCTAATTATCAGCACAGACAGAAGAGAATGGGGTCAAACACTGATCGCTTGGGCACGCTATTATCACATCAAAGTTGTCTTTTGTTTTATAAGAAGGAAAGAACCCGCTTATTAACAGTCCCTTGTTTCACTCTCCCTCCGACAGAGAACGTGGCGGAAAATATGGTCGGTGCTTTTTAAAGCCAGCTCCACAGGGGTTGGTCGGCTGGAGCTCCACGCTGTAGCTGACAGCAGCTCTGTCACTGACCAGAAGAAGGCTGGTCGGCAGAAAACAGCAGAGAGAAAAGTTGTGCGTCTGAGCGACTGCCTCAGTGTCACCGATGCGCCGAAGGAGTCCTGCCCCGCTGGGTGCTCGGCCTTTTACCTCACGACCACACAGTGCACCTACACTTTAGCCTCCACCACCAGCCAGGACTGGCTGAGCGCCCTCTGTCTCCTGGCCTTCCAGGTACCACACACACACACACACACATCCCTCTTTGCTTTCATATCAGTGTTTAAATTTGGGAAAGGTGAAAACAAACCTTAACCATACTCAAAGCCAGATAGCACAATGAGGAAGTTGATGCGGTATCTGTAACTTCTGCCACTTCACTTCTCTAATTCTTGTGCTTGCACAAGCCGTGTTGCTTCTTGCATCTTACCTTTGAAGTCATAAAGCGGTGATAAGAGGGGAGGTGTACACTTCAGGTAATGTTTACAATGCCACTGTGTTCACAGAGGGATCCTGGAGGACCAGACAAAGGGGATTTCGAGGGAGGAAACGGTCTGACCATGGAAGACAATGACCTTTACTCATCCTGGAAAAGAGGTAATGCGTGTTCATCTGCAGACAGCCACTGTTCAGTCAATCACAAATAAATAACTTTTAAAATGTTGTTTTTGTTTCTATTGTTTGTCACTTCTGTCCCATAACATAAAGGTAGCTGCTGAGCCATTGCTAAGTGGCTGAATTAGTCACAGAGCAGTGGTTCTTAACTGATTTTTATTTTCCACTTAGCTATTTTCTTTGACTATTTAATTTCAGCCTTCATTTGCAATGTGCTTAAAAGTTTTAAATAGTTCAATCAAGGAGAAAACTGCCTTTCCCCCTGGGCCAAAAAATGTGCACTTGGATCGGTTTTATTAATCTGTGGTGGCACACATGAGAATTTCAGTTATCGCATAAAACTTTAAAGTGGGATACACAATTTAAAAAGCTGTGCCGTTTTAAATGTGAGGCAGGTTGGTTTTCAGTCAGGAAAAAGGTCAAAGGAACGCATGAAAAATGAAACATTAGAGCTATTATTATTGTTATCGACTATAAATTACTCATTACTAAGAATAAATTGGTGAATATATTATATGAAAAAGGAAGAGATGTCATTGCAGCATAAATTCAAGACATCAGCAGAAACTTTCAGCGTATGTGAGCTGCAGCTACAGCCGCTAATTTATTCACACATGAAAGCCAGAATGTATTAGCGTCAGCAAGCTGTGGCTTATACAAATGCATTTCTTTTTATTTCCTAATGGATTACACTTCTGAACAATCCAGGCAGCCCGGTCACATGGAGGGATTAGTGGAATGCAAGCATTTTTTAAATCAGCCCCTTTTTCAATATGAAAATGTATTTGGTGTAATTTTATTTCCTTTGCTGACACATTGCTGCTCAGGCCTCTTATAGAGAAACGAAGCCTTTCATGTGGAGTTTGCCTGCGTTGACCTCAGTGCGCTGTGATGTTTCCTCGTGTTTAGATCTGACTCTTCCTCCCAACCACTACAAAGTGACTGTCCAGAGCACAGAGGCGTCCAAGCGGTGCCGGTTATCTGGGGAGTACCTGGTGTCTCCAGACAGAGAGGCTGTGATTCTGCTGGACGTCAGCAGTGGTCATATCATCTACCGCTGGCCGTACAGGCTCCTGCGCAAGTTTGGACAGGTTGAGGTAAAAAAAAAAAGCTGACATTCTGCTCAGATTATTCACAGTTTCTTAAAGGACTAGTTTTGGAAATGCACCCATTCCTTTGCTTGCCAAGAGTTATGAGAGAAAATTAAAACCACTCTAATGTTCAAATGTGAAGCAACAGACAGCAGCCGGTTGGCCTGGAAACACAGAAAAACAGCAAGTCTGGCATTGTCCAAAGGCGACAAAATCTGCTTCCCAGCGCGTCTGAAGCTCGCTAATTAACTCATTTGTTTATTCTGCGCCACAGCTCAAGTGTAAGTGAGCGTATTGTACCAAATGTCAAAGATTATTGGATGTGATTGCAGGGAGGATTCAGCATTGAGGCGGGCCGCCGCTGTGACTCAGGACAAGGAGTGTTCACCTTCCTGACCCAGTACGGTCCACAGATCTTCCAGTCTATATCCCAGCAGTGTGCCATGGAGAAGCAGTCGTGGGTCCAACCTCTCAGTGTCCACAGAAGATCACTTTCTGACGTGTCTCTTGCCTCCCAACCTCCGCCTCCTCCTCCGCCTCCTCCTCCTCCTCCTCTCCCTCTCTGCCATCCTGCAGATGTTTCTGCTGACACAGAGGACGAGCCTGACAGCCACTACTCCACCATTAATAACGCTCACGTAGAGAATGTAAAACAGCTTGCAAAACCAAGCAGCAGGGAGGCTGTGGGAGAGGAGGACAAGGAAGAACGGTGTCGCTCCCTGGATTCGCTAAACCTGGATAACACCGTGGAGGAGAGCATTTATTACAACCTGAGGAGAGCCACGCCTCCTCTGGTTCGAAAAGCTGAAGGATACGATCCAGAGTGCATCTACTCGGATGTGAGAAAACCTCCTTCAAATCTCCAGCCTCAGCCTCCCTCCTCTCCCATAACTGCCTACTCCCTCGCCAAATCCTCTCCCTATGCCCCACCCAAGCCCCGCAGCCAGCATCTCCCCCCTGTGAGTAACTACACCCAGACAGGCTGCGGTACACAGGAGGTGGATGACATGAAGGAGACGGAGGAGGCCATCAGCTCCTCTGCCCACGTTGCCCCCACAGAGGCCCCCGGCAGTTTTAAACACAGGCTGGCAGAAATCATTTCTAAGGACCTGGCAAAGTTCCAGCCACCTCTTCCCTACGGAGCAACCAGCCCCACATTTTCTCAGTAGGCTATTAGTTAACAGACAGACTAGAAGGAGCAATTTTAATCATGATAAATCGTCATAAAGCTTAATTAGTTCCTTTACTTCTATAAAACCCCTTCCACTGGGAACACGCAGTTAGGCACTTTGGCTGGCAGATGTTTGTATGTTTTTCTAGTAGCTTGTTGTATGAAAAATGCATCTGGAATGATTTTTTATTTGTTTTTCCCCCGTGTGGATTGTAATTGCAAAAAAAAAAGAAGATTTATTTTGTTTTGTTTGTATCAGATGTGCTACAATATCTTAAATGTGATGCTGGCTGATAAGCTGGACGAACATGCAAGTGGCTGATTGTTTTTATTATGGAAAAGCTTTGGAGAGGAAAAAAAAAGGATGTCTCCTTGTTCAGTGAGGGCACACTGGATCTTTGGAATTAGTTTCTTGTGTTATCAACAGATTGCAGCATAAATGAAAGAGCAAAAACCCACATTGTTTGTTGGTATGAGCGCTGCATGTACTGCTGACAGTGATGCATACAGAAATAACTTAACATGCACAGACATATCTTATTAAATCTTTATTGTAGCAAAACAGCCCTCATAAAATACCCCTTAGCTGTACATAAATAGAAAAATACTTGTTCTCAATTAGACAAACTGGAAATATCAGTGGTTCAGGACATATAAAGTGCATAAAAAAGGCCCTGTTGGAGTCCGTCGTGGCCATCTCAGTGGATGTTTTAGAGTTTTTCCTGTGGTTTTTTAATTAGGCAGTGCAACATCTAAGCTATGAATGATGATAAGCAGGAGTACTGTCTCATATGGTCATCATGTCTACGGTCCTTTACTGCCACACAAACGTCTGGATAACAGTCAAAAGTCAGCGGTTCCCTGTTACTGTCTCCAACCCTGATCTTCCTCCGTGACAGTCTAACATTCATCCTCACTGCTGTTGGATGTAGTTCCTGATTTGCAGGACTCCAAGTCAGATGAAGGTCCCAGTATAAACAGGTGCCCGATAGAGGGGTCTCGTTGCTCTCCGGTCAGCGGGTTCGGGGTCTGCGCACTGGCTGTCGGCCGGATGGAGTGGATCAGGCTCCTCATGGAGGTCTTGTCCGCTGCGCCCTGACGCGGACTCCTGCACTCCGGATGAACCACGCCGGCCAGCAGCTCAGACAGCTCCGTGATGTAAATCTGCGCCATTTGAAGGGTGTCATACTTGGATAACTTCTTCTCGTTTTCCAGGGAGGGGATGACGCTCCTCAGCTCGTCAAACGCTTTGTTGAGGCCGTGCATTCTCCTCCTCTCCCTGGCGTTGGCTGCGACGCGTCTGTGTCTCTGAGGGCCGAAGTGGGTCGCCTTGCCTCCATCCGCCGCCTGGCCGGCGTCTGCGTCTGCCATGCCTGCTGCAGACACGCAGTCAGGGAGTTTACTCATTGGCACAAGTTTCTCCAGCGAGATGCCTGCGTCTGCGGCTGCGTCCCTCCTCGAGAACGCACGGATTGAGTTTGAAGAAATCCACGTTTTGGAGCTGATGTGCGCCAAATTGCGCTGCTGCAGCAGGGAGAAATCCTCCGGGTATTCTGGCCAGTTTGAGAGCTCTGCTTTTGCGGCCATCACTGTGGTGGCCTGTGGTCGTGTGGCACGGCAGGGGGAAGGTCGCATAAGAAGACTTCTCCTCTCTGGAGTGGTTTGCACTGCGCCAAGCATTTATACAGCCTCCCCTCAGTCACCTTGGTGTCACTCCCTGCAGCTCTGACAGGCCTGCAGCCTCAGGAGGCAGCAGCCAATCGCACAGTCCCCTCTGACCCTGTCAAAGAACAATTAGACAAAGCTCGACTTTTTTTTTCTCCTATTGTGCATTGTAACTCAATCACGACCTTGTTGTTATCCTCACATAGAGGGGAGCCTGAAGTATTAATCATTTAGGAGCGTGCAGTGTGTGAAAGGCGTTTTAGAAGAGGAGAGAAGAAGGTGTAAATGATCTAATGATCTGAAGCTGTGGGCTGCATTATTACTTATTGATAAAAAATACCATAAATAAATAAAGTAGACCTTGCTTAACAAGCGGACGTGTCAAAACAGTTCTCATTTTGTGGCAACTTGTGGACTGAGAGAGATTCTCTTTCCTTAAATTGACTTATTTGCAATTGTAATTTATGGATTGTTGTGCGTAAAAAGCAAACATTCAAGCCTAGATCACCATCATCATCATCATCATCACCATCATCATCATCACTGCTCCCAATCTTTATCACGAGCAAAGTAACTGACTCCTTGATTGGTTCCTGAGAGATCTGGCAACAAACAAGTTTGTTCTCAAACAAACTGTAAAAAGATGGCCAATCTTTGCTGCATTATTTGCCGAGGAATAATAAAACGAACAGGTGGGAGACAAGGCTGGAGACACACCTGTCTATAGCGCAGACATGATAACCGATAAGTTGTCTCAAGGCGATTTATGAATCATTTAGCGAGGATGACAACATGCAGTGTGCGCAAAACGCCGTCCTCGTTATTTATTATTCTTACTGTTGCACCTTTTGTTTTCCTTTACAAGATAATTTTGTTTTCTAATTGAGACCAAATGAAGGAAGATAAATTAGGCTTTTTTTTCCTTTTTTTTTTCTCTTGGTTCCAGTTATGTGGCTCCTGCCCCGTGCGTATCAGCTGGTGTCCCTTGGCACCACGCAGCAGCTCCACACCACCTCAGTTACAGGCAGTGTCACCCATCTCCCATATGCTGCTGGGCCCGGAGCTTCCACACCGACACTCCCTGACTCTGACACGGGAGCTAATCACTCATTAGACCATCAATTACTGCGCAGGAGCAGCTTCGGACGCGTCCGCCGGGAGATCTGACATGTCAGAGCCCAGTGATGGTAACTTGGACAAATTTTGCAGCCCCTCTCTCCCCTCCTTGCTCCTCTCTCTCTCCTCTCTTTCTGTGTTGGTGTGACAGTCGGGGTCGAGCGCTGGTAAAGAAAATCACCGTGACCTGCCTCGCCGCCAGCAGTTTAATGAGGCCTGGTCTTAGTTGAATAAATCGGCACGTTCTTCGTCCCGGGGTGTCCATTCATTTTTTCCTTTCTTTCTTTTTTTTTTTTGGGCTACATGAATATTTCATTCCTTCAGCCCCACTGCCAGCGCAACAGCCTGTAACCCTGCGTTCAGGCTTTAAAAAATGCGGCTACACTTCCCATCTGGTGCGGGAGGAGCTGGAGGAGGAGGAGGAGGAGGAGGCCGAGGAGGTGTGAGGAACATTTCTGAGGTCAACTTGAGCTGACCTTCTGCAAAAGGCGCAGAGGAAGGCTTAGTTTATCCTTTATAGTGTGATGCTGGAGTAAGTGTAGCCTACCTGAAGTTGTACAAAAGTGATGCAGTGAGCAACAGCATCCCAGGAAGCTCTGCTGATGGACTTCAGCTGCAGTCACTAGACTTTTATTTTTTTCTAATGAAGCTGCAAAATGGAGCCAAAGAAACTGCAGCCAACAAAAAGCAACAACTTCAAATATGTCACAGTTGATTTGCACATTTCACACATTAACCTCCCACCTCCTGTCTTATCTCCAGTTTTGCTTCATCATTTCACCTACAAGGCAAATAAACCCCTTTATACTAATAATCTGGTAGCTGTAGCACCAATGAGATTAACACAACATCATGGAGTTGTATCTTCTTCTGGCACATTTCATTCATCATTTCTCCACTTTTTCGGTCATTTTTTACAACATTTAAGTCACTCGTGAAATGGTTCAGGTTAGGATGAGGGATGGAGGTCATTCATCACAGCTATGGTGTACAATTAAAGGCCAAAAACTCAAAATGCTTCCTGATAACTCATCAGCTGTGTAAAAAAAACCACACCTTTTCTGGCTGAAAAGAAACTGTAAAGTAACAGATAACAAACTTGTCCCAAGTTAAAGGACACTTTCTAGCCTTAATGTTACATGTGAGCAATTTTTTGGTTTTACTTTTTAATGTTTAATGAAGGATATTAATGTGTAAAGACAATAGGATGAGGTGCTTCTTGATATCTAATTATTAAAAAACAGTGTTTTGATAGATTATGGAAATGCATTCATTCAATGTTGTTGTCGTGAAAACTTTTGTAAATATCCAACAAATGTCACATTTAACAAACAAATCCATGTAAAATTACAAATCAAACATGTTCTCTTCTGAAAATTCTCACTAATTGTATCTAACTTTAGTTACAGTTATAAAAAAGAGGAAATATTTGTGAAATTACAAGACATTTGGAGAATTTTCAGTTAGGATATTTATTTCAATTTCCTTAAAAAAAAAAAAAAAAAAAAAGATTATTTGCAGTTATTTAGAAAAGAAAAGTCTTTTTTTTCTTTTTTTAAATCTGCATTTATATTTTGTGTAATTTTAAAATACAGGGGAAAAAAAACATCTGTTAAAAACAACCTGCATAATTAAAAAAAAGATTTAAATTTAATTTTCCCAGTGGAAAAGCAATTATACCCCCACTGCTTGTAAAAGACACCCAGCCCCACTAATAACAGCAAATTTACTCCAAGCAGGTACATTCATTCAACATTATTGCAACACAATAAGAGATCTTGATACCAGTTTGCATAAATTGCCTCAGCAGCTTCTCAACTCCAGCCGATGGTTTCACAACGTGTCACTCACTTGGCAGCCAGAGAAGCAGAGACGACTGCAGCTGCCTCCAGAGTTTGGTGATGGAAGCTGGCGTCGGTCCAGCGCTTCATCCTGATCCTTGACTGTGAACACTGAGGGGCTTTTTTTTTGTTTGTGTGACCCGTGGGCTGATTATGGAGATACTGAGTGTAATTCCAATAATAATACATCGTATGATTGTGTGATTTCTAGAACATCAGTCGGTCCTGATAGTGAAATGAATTCTCCTTCTAACCTCTCCAGCTGTCTCTGGGGAACCGTGGCCCCAAATAATCTATAATGAATTCAGCTCCATGATGAGATTTAGGTTCAAAGCGTTGGGTTTCTGTTGTGTTTCCTTTAAAACACCACATAACAAATACATCCAGACTAATCCAGCTTCAGATTTTACTGCCTATTTTACAGGTGACCAGTTTTGTAATCATTTTGATGGAAGTTCTCTGGAAAGAAATGAGTAATTTGGTGCTAATTATGGGAAAATTGGACGAATAGAACTGAACCATGCACAATTTACAGGGAAGTCAAAGTTCACCTGACCTGCTGACCCTCTTGTTTACTTTAGAAATAACTAATAATCTATATTACATGGGTTTTTCTCTAGAATTATTTCTGAAATGATGGACCTGTAAAGCCTTAACAGACTCTATACAGTCTTAATATATGAATAAATAGCTAAATCAGATTTCAGAAAGTAACATAAGCTTCACTTTATAGCTTTTCTAATGCATGCAGCGTCCACCTCCTGCACTTCCACCATAAATTACTCTATTGTTTATCAGGTTTGTTAAATGCAAACTTGAGTAAACTCTTCTTAAACACACTTTTTCCTTCCTCACAGCCTGGTCCAGGGTTTTTATACAGTGAGCCTTGAGTTTTAATTAAAGACTCTTTAATTTCCTAACAATAGAGGCTTTCCATGTTTTGTTTTTTCCACACAGTCCTGCACCAGGAACACTGAAGCTCTTGATGTTGGGAGCAGTCTAGTCTCTAATTATCCTCCTCACACCCGGAGCTACGGAGGTGCTTCTAGTGAGCAAAGAGACAAATCTCAATGGCCGGGTTTCAGGCGCAAATTAGGACAATTAGCGGCCTCATTAATTTGGGAGAAGGGAAGTAATATTCTAGTTAAAGAAACGCTTCATTAAGTCAATGTTGTCTGTGGCAAAAAGGCTAATTGATGAACTCCGAGAAGGACGCTGATAAGAGAAGATGACTTTTTCTCCCCGCAGTGGACTTTATGCTGAATTTGCAAACCAGTTAATTTGCTCTGCGCCGGACGCCGCAGTCATCGCGAGAATACCGGAGCCGTTGAGGAAATATCGCGATGCCCTGACAGAAGCTCTCTGCAGGGGGTCGTTTGAAGCAGCGATGCAGGGGATAGACGGAGCCCGCAGGGTCTGAAGTCACGGACTGTGTCTGCGGTTTACTCAGCAGCATCCAGAGGACAACAAAGCAGGTTTCAGAGTCCACGCTGCTCCACTGATCACAGGTCAGATCACAGTGTCCCCTCACAGCTCTGAGACACGCGCCTCAAGGAGGGATGTTAAGTATACAGAAAAAAAGACACAACAACCCCAGAAAGAGCAAGAACAGCTGTCATACTCTCATTATTTTACCAGCATTTGCAGTATTTGTTATTATTATTATTATAATTATTATTATTGTTGTTGTTGTTGTTGTTGTTGTTGTTATTTTTACTTTTTTTTTTAACGTTACAGTATTTGCAGAGAAAAAAAAGTATTTATTTACACATTAACCTTAAAAAACCTTAAAAACAACCAAAGAAATAAAAACAGGAAAACTTTAAACAATCCCCCCCCCCCTAAAAAAACAAAAACAAAACAAAAACAAAAAAAACCCCAACAACAACAACAAAAAAAATAAAGTAAAAAACTGTAAACATTTTACAGTCTTTAAATATTACAATATAATTTTTTCTGGCACCCTTGCTGTATATTTTACAAATATTTGCTGTATTTGAAAGAAAAACATGTACATTTAGTAAAGAAATTTACATTATTTACAGCTTTTTCTTTACGGTTTGTGAACTTTACAGTGTTACACGGTTTTTAAACATATTTTTTCTGTCACTGTTTTCTCTGTTTTTCTAAATTATAGATAATTATTGAAGTTACAAAAATATATATACATGTAAATATTAATTGAAATTTTTCCTTTATTAACATTTTCAGAAAATATTGTTTTACATATATTTGCTGTAATTTGAAAGAAAAAAACAAAGACTGAAAAAGATAAATATTTTTTTATAATAGTTTTGTTTGTTTTATGCATGTCTTGGTAAATTACAGACAATAATTGGTAAACTCACAAGAAGAACAGTGATCATTTAAAAACTCTACATAAAACTGCCTTTCTAAATAGCAGCTGACTTTGGGCGAAGGCAGGGTACACCCTGGACAGGTCACCAGTCTATCACAGCCTACACTTAGAGACAGACAACCAAGCACACTCACATTCACACCTACGG